ATCTTATGCATGACTGCGCCATGGTCATTACTCCTCATTAGTAAATGAACGAGGATTCCGTCGATCAGGAGCCGATCATCTGTTACCACACAATAAACGTTTGGGGGGTTTCTGTATTTCTTGTGTCTCTGTTCCTCATTTGTAGCTTTTTCGATCCTATGATGCCGTTGTCGTCTACGAACTTGAGAGGTTTGTTATTAAGAGTCCTTTAATTTCTGTTATGACCGTTTAAGATCGAATAATTAAATCTCAACGAAGAGTTATCACGCATCATCATCAGGTCACAATAGACTATTCTGTGCTAATCACCCCTCACAAAACCTAGATATGTTCGCAACAAACCAACAGTATTGTGAATATATCCTCGAACCTCTTAGTGGGTCGCAAAGCCAGTGAACATAAGAAGCAGAATCTTTGCGTTCGAAAAGAGGACTTACCACATATTTAACTAGAGTTTACCTCTACTTAACAGATATTTGAAAGCCTGGAATGCGGTTGTAGTGTGCTTATGACGGATTTTAGGTTCCATTTTTGAAGGTATTGTTTTTGAAAATCCTTCCTTATATACATTTGTTGTTTTTTCGTATTGATTCTTTCACTTGTACATTTTGTTAGTCTATTCGATTCCATTTAAGGTGATAATATTCGCACTTTATCATGGTTTCCATTTTTCGGGCCTTCACTGAGTTTCAGCGTTTCTTCCTGAACTGCATTTATGTTGTTTTAGCTGATACTCAGTCTTGACGGCAGCTATATTTTCTTGTTCCTCCTTTGATTGTGTTGCTTGCACTGACTGTAATGGTACATTTTAACTGTGAAATTAAGTACTTTTCCAGAATAGGAAACACTGTGTCATAAAGCAACTAAATATTATCTTTCGAACGAATCTGATCTACGCAGAATGGAGAGAATAACGTTATTCGTTGCTATTGATTTTATTAACCTAACAGTTGTTCGTGGAATAACTGAGTGGTAATATTAGTTTAGGCAATGATGTACATTTATATATATGATGAACATTTGAAACATCATTTACCTCGTCACTCTGTTTTGATTTCAACTGGGAAATAGAGCGTATATAAACTAGCTAGTCAGTCATTCTTCTGTACAAACATTAGTTTGGATTCTGCACGATTGCCTATAACATCGAAGATATGCCATTTAGGAACACGCAATGATGACCAATAGTAGCATGAGATTTGAATTTCATGTCTGCCACAGCAAAGTAATGAGAAAATTTCGTCAACTTTAAGTCCGTGACTCGTAATATTATCCCGTAAAATTCCTATACCCTTATAACTGCGAATGCTGTGTACAATAAGGAAAATTGGATTCGCAACTAAAGCCATTTGGATACTTTTTTCAAAAGAACACTACAGCATCTTTAAGGGGAAGAAAACAGCCACCTCCAGATTACCGTGAAGCTTCATGAAGACTATCACAGACAGATGGACCGGCAATTCATAATCATTAGAAGTAACTAAATTCCGTATACTATCTAGTAATGCAGTCACGAATGATTCATTACTGAACTCAAGAAGTACTGTTTAGACACAGTCAAACCTGCCTTTGGAATTCAAAATGTACAAGGGAATCATGGTATGGTACATACGTCTCGGAAATCACAGCGTAGACTATAGTCCGGGTTACTACAGTCCATTACACGCAACTCCCAAAGGTTCATCGTATGTTTATTCAGATATATACGTATTACAGATTCACTATTAACTGGAATGTATTGTTGGCATAGGGATTACTGTTACAGGAGAAATGAAGACATTTAGCTGATTAAAACCTTTATATAAATATCATTAATTTCACTGTTTTTTTTGGTATATTTGTTTTACTTAACTTATGAACTTGTTTGATTTATTATTTTCGGATATTTCGATTTCTGTTTGTCTATGTTTGGTAATTTGGAGTTTTTGCTCCAGGAACCCATAAAATTGAAGGTTTTGTAGTTACTATAATTATTGTTGTTAGAACGACATTTTGGTCGACTATTTGTGAATTGCCAATAAACTTTGGTACATAACTTTGGAGTTTGGTTCTGTTGTTAATTTGGGTTCGTGAATTGCAAATAGATCGACATACTGTACTTCAATAACGGGAAGGAGCAAAACTTGGAGGTAACAATTACCAAAGGAAGAGACTCGTCCGACTGCTGTAACTGCATTTCGTCGGTTCTTGACACTGAGATCACCGATATCTATAATTCAAACCGTAAATTTTTCATTATTCTCCACCAACGTCTATGCAGATGATTAGGATGCTTGAAACTATTACGAGTTCACCTTAATCGGTAAACGGAACGAAGTTCAACGATGTACTGAAACGATAGGCTATTCTAATCCAATTGTCCTAGGCACCGCTATTGAAAATGTGGATGTAGCAGACTGTTTCTTTCAGTGACATGTTGTAAATGTGCTATCAGAAACTGACGCTTATAATTAATTTAACTGCGATAACTTTTACAGTAAATGTGAAAACATTTGTGACAATTTGTTCTAGACTGTAGACTGGCATGCCTCTTGTAATGCAGTTGTTTGAGTATAAGTACTATTATTATTATTATTATTAGAATTCATGATAAGGCGTGGAGAAAGTATTCTAAAGCACCCAGAAAATACAAGATCATCAAGCACACAACTCAAGTTTATTCAAACAATGGATAAAACGCCTTAGGCTGAAGGTCAACTAACAGTCTTTAGTGCGGAAATAATGAAATTCAAAATTTCAAAATCAAATTACAAAATAAGGACCTGTTGAAAGCGAGTTCTGGGGAACTAAGCTCTTCAACACTAATTAACAGCATTTCAGAAGAAATGTGAAAGTTTACAAGCTAGATCAAATTGCTTAAAATTCCACCACATTTACTGTATAAGCTATCATAGTTAGATTAGAAATTAGAATTCGGTTCTGATAGCACCTTTACACATTTCCACTGACAGGAACAGTTCGAAAGATACGCATTTTCACTAGGTGAGTACAAATAGAGAATGTTCCGAGTTCTGGCTATGCATAATCGACGAGTAGAGCATCTTTGGACTAGTATAATCAAACGTCATGAGGATTATTATCCTCGTTATCAGCTGCTGGTGTCTTAAAAATAGCGTTTAGTAATGTAATTAGTTTGCACTAACTAATTTAAATTAATATTCATCAGTAATAGATTGTTATCCAAAATTTTTACGCATTACAATCACAGTGTTATACCCAAGAATGTTTGCATCCCATTCAGTTAGTCACATACGAACCAGCACCACATGCAAGTTGGCGAAAGCCATTCGAGCCTTCTGTATCCGAGCTGAGATTTCGTCAGTCACCAGGCCATCGGCACTGATCAGACTCTCACTATCATGCATAAGACCGACTTAACTGTCTCGGACATGTACTACGGATGTTGTCCTCAATCAATCAATAGCAACGTAGAACTTCGTACGTGAGTACATCAGTTAATGTTGCCATACTACGTTAGCACAGAGATGAAATTGTCGATTCAAATCCAATAGTAGTAGAGGTAGTAAAGGTATTAGAAGTAATCGGAGACGTTAGGATTAGAAGATACTATTCAGTCAATCAGTCACTTGCAACGTAGAACTTCGTACGTATGTAAATAAGTTCATGTTGCCATACCACATTAGCACAGAGACGCAAATGTCAAATCAAATCCCATAGTGATAGTAGAGGTATTAATGGTAATGAATAAGACTAGGGTTTGAAGTATTATTCAAGAAGTATAATTTAGCGAGATAAGGTTATAAAGACAAACATAGAGGTGCTGACGAATCCAGAAGATTAGGATTTGAGAGAGCACAACGAATAAATGCACTACTTCATCTGTTGATCTGTAGTTCCTACCTGGTACCCGTCTTCTAACGAAAGCATTGCTCACTCGGTAGTCCCAAGGTATACGATCAATGCTTCGAAGACACCTATGATCGAAAACCAGTAACCTACGAATATCTTCTACTCTCACTGGCCATGTTTCACAGACATATAGTAGGACGGAGCAAACTACTACGCAGTACACTCGTCCTTTAGTCAGCGAACGGATATCACGTCTACGCCATAAGTGACGCAGGTTGGCAAAAGCCAATCGAGCCTTCTGTATCCGAGCTGAGATTTCGTCAGTCACCAGGCCATCGGCACTGATCAGACTCCCAAAATAAGTGAAGCGGTCTACACGTTCGACTACTTCACTCCCTATCACTAGTTCAGGTGCCGATGAAACCCAATCTTGAAGCAACATTTTGCATTTAGAAGAGAAGGATCGCAACCCGAACATGCTTGCATTGTTGCTTAGGGTAGTCAGAAGACTCTGCATTTTGTCAGCGTCTTCACCAAGTAGGACAATGTCATCGGCATATTCTAAGTCAATAAGCGAGCCACCTGGTAAAAGGTCTACTCCAGAAAATTCAGACGAGGATAAGGTTATTTCTAGGAGCATGTCTATGATAAAATTAAACAAGAATGGAGAGAGTAGACATCCCTGACGGACATCACTTGAAGTAAAGAATTCCGGTGACAGTTCGCCATAAGCTCTCACTCAACCTGTAGGGTTCGAGTAGAGAGCTTGTATAAGGTTAATGTACTTCTTTGGTACACCTTTCAATGACAGACACTGCCACAGAACCTCACGAACAACTGAGTCAAATGCCGCTTTTAGCTCCAGGAAGACAACTATTGTAGGACGCCTAAATGTGTGTCTATGTTCCAGGACCTGTCGTAGTGTGAAGATGTGGTCTATACAACCACGTCCAGGTCTGAAACCAGCCTGGTTTTCTCTAGTCTGCTCTTCACGAGCTCTAGTTAGCCGTCTAAGTATAATCGAGGCTAACAATTAAGAAACTATGTTAGTTGGGCTTATTCCCCTGTGATCGTCACAAGAGGACATTTGTCCTTCCTTGTAGACTGGAACAATCAGCGATTGAGGTCAGTTGGGTGAGATTTCGCCCAGGTCCCGAATTCTACCTAAGATCTCAGTCAACTTAGCTGCCAAAACTGGACCGCCATCCTTAAAAATATCAGGGGTCGATCTACCAGCACCTGCTGCTGTTCCTTGCTTCAGATTTGCTAACGCTTTCTCAACTTCATAAAGAATAGGGGGACTTACGTCGACTGGCCATTCAGGATGACTGGAGATCGTGGATAACCGGAGGCCAGTTGAAATGATCCCTGAAATGTTCTGCCCATCGGTCCAGACTCCTGGATTGAGAATGTATAATAAGACCATCCTTTTCTGAGATAGTCTCACTCACACTTGGGTTCCTAAAACAGTTTCCTTGATGAGCATGAATAGATGTCTACTGTTCCCCATTGCCGTCGCCTTTTCCATCTCTCTCGCTTTCGCTACCCACCACTGTTCGCGATAATTGCGTAGGCTTTTCATCAGCCTGCGCCTAAGCTGACTTCGCTCGTCATCATGTTCAGAGCCTGGGTGGGATGAGTTTTCGTGCACCCATCAGTTCGGTGGATGCTTCAGAGATCCACCGCTTCATTCTGGCCTTATGGTTAACCTTACTAGCAGATATCACTACTGCTTACAAAGCTACTTTGACATCATTTCAAGCTGCCTCAGGGTGAGATTACTTACTAAACGGCTGTCTAACTGTTTTTCTGGTTGTTCCTGAAATATATTCTTAGATTTATTATCGTGAAGTAGAGCCCTAAGATGTTTCCTCACGTCCAGTAAGTCGCAAACATTTACGCGCTCACGCAAATGCACAATCTGAATCTAAACGTGAGCTCCAGCTTTCTAGCCGATGCTCATTTGCAAGTGGAAGTAGATAAGGCATCAAGAGAGCTGCTTACTATCAATGCTTATCTTGGTGTTCCCGTATAACCGTCTGTCATTTGGAGTCGAAACCATCCCATTTATCTTCCAGCGACTAATGGATACTATCCTATCAGATATCTCAGGGATCGCAGCTTATCTCGATATTTTGTTGCGACGACATTAGGACAGGTACAGGGATGCATGACATTGGTACTGCGACGCATCAGTTACAACGGGTTCCGGTCACGCCCAGAAAAATGAGTTTTTACTGCAGTCGGTAAAATATTTGGGGTTCATCTTCGAAGCTGAAAGTGAAGTTGGATTAGCGTCGGTCTCACAGACCTGGGAGCGGGACCACTGAGCCCAAGGGACAACTGCTTCAGGCCGGTCACGCAGGGCATTTTTATGATAATTTTAAAAGTTTTAGCTCCGCTCTTGTTTAAAAGATCTTACCACCGGGAACGAAAATCCGTGTAGTAAAATGTGTGACATTTCTACGGTCGGGCTTTTCTGATGCCTCCCTACCTTGTCAGAAGGCAGCATCGCTGCAGATGCTGGTTGTCAGTGGGAAACACCTTATTGTTGTCACACCCCTCTACAGTCAGCAGTACGACTTCGCCCTCAGACCTTGAGTAGTTGCTTTTAGTCTCATCGTTCTCCAATCGACCTACCTGTCATGGCAGAACCTTCAGGAACATATGTTCCAGCCAATATAGATCGGTTGGGTCATTACGATAAGCAAACCCAACCAACACGTCAAGGTAGCAACTATGGTCAGGTCAAAAACAAACCGTCTTTATTTAAGAATTTTCAAAATCTATTATCATTTTGATTGTACTAAAAAATATTCCTTTTTATTAATCAAACTCGTGTTATTTGATTTCAGTCATTTAATTATTTGCTCCGAAGTATTGATGTGCACCAAATCATAGAACGTCAGAAATGCAAATTTCTACTCATTGGGACATCACCAAAAAATATCACCATTTTATTATTAGAAACTATTTTCAGTCTTATCCTGCTACGTGCTTTCATTCTAACACAAATAATCTAAGAAATATTTCAGCAATGAGTTATAACTTGTTTGATTATGTTTTAGTTTTATGATACAAAAAAGATACAACTCAAACAGGGATATTCCGTTAACAGTATTATAAATCAGAGAATTCAATTGAAACCTCTTTAAATAACAGTATAAATTGGATTGACCGATAAAAAAATTATACGTCATTTTGAGGAAACACCCATTTAAGTTGACGAGAATTAATACCAATATGTGGGAGTTTGTTTGAGACAATCATCTTTTAAATTAAAATGCTTGGACAAACTCTTTTCGAAACTGACATCTGATGTCGAATCAAAAGACTTAAGGGATACTTCACAAACAAACGGTTCACAAGTATCTTTTGAATTGACAACGGCTGTTTTTGGATCAGTTAAGTCATCTAAATATCTGGCCGCGGCTGGTAGAGGAATTACGTGACCTGTCTGTAAGGAAACACGAACGCGATTACCCTCATTAGTGTACCGCCAGGAGCATTTGCAAGGTTCATTATTTGATGGATCCACAAGAGCAACCTACAGTTAATGAAAAGGTTAATAATGAATACAGGCCAGATAAAAAGTGCAAAGACAATATAATTTAATAAAATAAACCCGAATATATCAAACCATCAAAATATTAGCCATTTAAAATTATTGAAAATATAATGTCTTTTAAGATTAGTTAACTTTATACAGTGGACTTGGTGATATTACTAACTGATCCGTGAATACAATACTAGACTTCTTCAAAAAACAACTGAGTTTTAATCATAAGTACGATAATCAGGTGTAAAGTATTGAATTCAGCCAGTTAATACTACAAGATTTATATATATATATATATATATATATATATATATATATATATATATATATATATATATATATAAGGCACTTACACAATTTGAGGCACAGTAAATTGCTCAGAAAAAGTACTAAATTAGCAACTACAATATGAATATTTACTTTAAGGGGTAGATAAACCAAACACAATGAGTTACCTCCGAATCCATTTCTAAAGGATCCTCGGTTCTTTTTAAGGAATCATTATCTCTAGAAGTCGTTACACGATAATTAAGACCATCCACATAGACTAAACGTCTCATTTTTAAGACTGAAGAAACAATACCGATCTGAAAAAAAGGAGATATAACGTAAACACATGATGACCTGAAACAACAATTAAAAAGGATTTCAATTTGTTAAAAAAGGGAATAGAACAAAATACTCACAAGTGTTTCTTTCAAAACATTTAACTTGATTGAGTCTATGATAGAAGTGAGTACTACACAACTGAGTATAATCTAAAAAGTTAAAACTCAATGAATCATGACAACACTGCTCTACTGTATCGTTCTCTAGTTTGTTCTTTTACTGTTGTATTTTATGTAAAATACGGTTTTAATATAAACAAAGACTCAGTTTCAATAAACTCCACTTTTTCCACTGCATCACTTTAACTTGATAATGATGAAAATACCACAATCTATTGAAAAGAAACAAAGACATAGTGAAACTAGATAGCTTACACCAGCGCTTAACTGTTTCAGAATTACCATCTGTTGATTTCTAACATTTATTACCTACAAATTTCCGCGTGTAAACGATAGTATGGTTTAAAATGTGATCGAATAAAAGTTGAGTAAGGTTAAAGCAAAACGTGAAGAAAGGTGGGTAAGAATTAATTATATAACAAACACTGCAACCTCTTCACGTTGAATCCAATCAGGCGAATCAATGATATGAGTGGTGATTTTTCGGTGGTTTGCATAAAATTTTTAACGTTTTTACTTATTGTACAGAAAAATTCGTCACACAAATAAATGTTAGAAATAGGATTAAAGAATCAAAAATTAAATAGCGAGGAATTACAATAATCGAAAATAAGAAACGAATTCAACAAAATGATACACATGATACAGAATCATTGAGTTACGTTAATCACAACACAAATCACACAACTGAGATTTTGAAGGGTAGGATATCAGTTATAGTAGCTAAATACTGGTAATTTTTTGCGCTACACAACTGTTTGTAATGGCGCGTTTAATGTGAACATTATGTATAGGGAGTAAAGTTAATATCACATGAATGGTAACTTAAACGTTTTAAAATATACTACTTGACTTAACATTAGTCAGGTATTCTTTTACACATAAGCCAATCAATAAATGCTGATTAGTAATTAACGCAAAACACATTTGGCCCATCAAATAATTTTGATGTGATTTTTATCATTAACTTCGGTACTTGGAGTACTTCCACAAATCTGATTTCTTTCATCGGGAGGAAAATCAAGAAATTATCCTTCAAATAAAAAAACTATTGCATTGTAAACAACACATATTGAGGAAAGATCAACACTGAAAAAGTAATGAATGTCAAAATGAATTTAAGTGTAGTAAACAACGTTGAATGGGGATAACATATTTTTGCAAGTCTTTGACAATTTTTAACATCAAGAAAATAAGATGACTGTGGTTTATCATCAAAAGATTTTGTATGAGTTTACCAAGTCAGATCATGAATAGTAATCTAAACCATATCTAATGCTTTAGGAGTAAAATTAACAGTGAGAGAAAAGCTTACTCTTCCTTTATCCGGGCCAGCTAGTATGTGAACACGATCACCTTTAAAAATTAATTGGTCTTCAGGCAGCAAAGGTTGTAATTTTCGTGCTTCTTTGTGACCATCTGGATGAACAACGCACCAAGTTACGTTTGGGTATGGAAATTCGGACAGCCGGTTAGCAATGTCCCAAGGAAATTTCTCAGAAAAATGCCAAACTGGCAGAAATTTCTCTTCTCTTTGCTGAAAGTAATTAGAATACACCTCTAGAGTGAGAAGTCATGAGAAACTTATCCAGACAGAAAAGATAAAAATTGGCAACAACTGAGGTGGGGTATTCCACCAATTAGTTGAAACTTTAAGTGTTCTAAACTCCAATAAGCATACAACGGTAGTGTATAGGAATTAAATTAGATTAGAAAATATCCGATGTTTAGTTACTGATCGCTTTTTGTAGTACGACTGTAAATTCTGTCATCACAGAGCATCAAAGAATTAGTACAAATAAAATAATCTATTGAAATAGAAGGTACGATCATACAATATATATATAAATAAATGAACAAAGTAGGTACTTACGAGGAGATACAGTTCATTTAAAAATATACACAAGAAATATTTCTTTCAGTAAAGTACGTTAACGTAATTTTTAGAGTGTAATGGAGAATTACAAGATGTTCTCCCCTGCTACAGCATTGCATGAACTAGGGCTCCAGTCAGTGTTTATGAAAGACTGACAGATATCAACTACATACAGTTGTTTTCGTTGCCATAAAACCATACTACACACTTGCTTGTCAGCGTTTCCAATCCAGAATCGCCGAATAATGCGTGAGGTGAAAGCCGCCAATGTAACATTGTTAAAGGATATCCTAGTCACCAAAATCAGTGACAAACTGAATTAGCGTCGCTGCCCTCAAGTACATGCTATTTAACTTTATCATTACTAACATGGTGCTACCATTGGATATCAGCAATCCTTTGAAGATAACGATAGTCAAACACAGAAAGTTATGGAATATCCTTAGTTCAGAAAAGCTAGATTTCCCAAAAATAGAATACAACTCTTACCAACGTATTGCTCAACCTATCTATTAACATGAAGACTTGCATTGCGATATAACCATAAACTGACCACATTGTCATGAACAGTTCAGTTTTTCACTGTACTTGTATCTACATCATTTATCATACTTTCATCGATACTTAGTAAGCTACTCAGGAACATCGACTTTTTGACTACTTATGGAAGGTTACTACCAAAAATATTATGTACAAGATAAAACGCTTTGAAGCTCTTTTAATATCTTCTTCTGATAATTGTACCACACAGATTCATCATGAATAAAATAGCCCATCAGTACCATTGACGAATTCTGGAGTAAATAAGGGCGCTTTGAATTTCGAAGGGGTGATTGTTTTGCATACGACTACTGTTATCTCTCGAAATCTTCGAACAACATTTGCACGCAATATGAAGCAGTTGGGGATACTAGTTATCATCATTTAATAGATATAATCTCTAACTACTAACTTAGGTGAGCCTAATGCTTTTTTATACTATGCTATGGTACTGCGAGATGAAAGACAGTCATAACAGGTCACTTTTCTCAGCATAACATGACACTATGAAATGGACCTGAGGGATCGCGTAAATGGGTAGTTTCAGATATTAAGAGGAGTAGCTCAGGAGCTAGACTAGTAACAATAATATAGTCTATTCTTATTTTGTCGTCCAAAAGCAGCAAAAAAGGTCTATGGAGTGAAAAAAAACTAGGTCTTTTTTCGGCTATCGTCAGAATTTTCTGACTTAATAGGTTTAAATAACATAAGCGATTTGTTTCCGATGAGTAAGATATATTTTTGATTCTATGATGAGTATGTGACATATTATTATTTGCATATTTATACACATAATTACAATGTATACAACTTTATGACGTGGCTTTAAAGAATTGACAACTTTCAAGAAAAAAAACACTGATTAGTGATAGGTAAAAACAGGACTAAACTCTCATCGAATATATGCAAATAAATATGAGAAAGTTACTGTTACGCCAAATGTGAAATAACTTTTCACGTATTAACGACTGTATATGGGTGGGTATATATCAATGTAAGGTTCAGAGTATAAAAGCAATTTATTCGTACATGTGCCTGGAGCTGTTTTGATGGAGTTTCATATAAATTTCTCGATATACAATCCCTTTAGTGAACACACTGGAAATCAAAGTAAGAAAAAATGCCTTGGCTATTACCATTAGTTGTAGTTGAGAAGAAAGTTTATGTTAATTCCATATTTTCAAAAAATAATATGATGGAATTTTGTGTGTTATGTAAACCAAAGTACTTCAAAGTGTCCCTCGCTCTCGATAAACAACTGACAGTGTATTTTGACTAAGCTCCTACTTGAATCAGATTCTCACCTTGTGATTATTTTGGTCTTAGTGTTCTACTGCATAAAATAGTTTTGTGTTATAAACAGTAAGGGATTTTAAATTAGTTTTTCAGATAGAGCAAGATGATGAGCGCTAAGTGTAAATCGTAATCTTTTTACTTATCAGATACAACTACGCTACACTTAATACGATGGAGTATGAAGTTGAAACATTAAACTAGATAATGTAACTACGAAAATTAACAAAAAATGATTCCAGCATATAGGGTCAGATAATATGATGGAAATGAGCAACACTGGTTCGAAAGAAAGACCTGATAAGTTTTTTTTCAGTAATAAACGCATACATACCTCATTTGGTAATGGATTAGGTCGCTGGAACAAATGGTCCGTTTCAAAACGCCAACCTAAAAATTCTTTTCGATAAACGGGACGGAACCTGATTAGGCGGGCAACATATCGCGGCCAGTAATTGAATTTCTGAATGTGACTCTATGGATGTAAAATAAAGAATAAAATTAGAATTTTCGTATTATTTATTTTATTTATTTATTTTTATTTACAAGATTAAATCAAGTAATACAAAACTAATAAGGTTACGCAAATACGAAACTACGTAACCCCTAGTCTGGAAGTAAAACACAGTGGCACTCTAAACCAGAAGGCTATGATTTGCGTATCTCCTACAAAATGGTAAGTCAGTAAAAGAGCAATGAAAAGAGCTCATTGTGGTAACTGAATTCGAAAACAACTCAAAACAAAACAAAAGTATTTGTTTGTCAATTCCATAAACAATTGAAATACGAACTAATATTGGTTAGACAACCATTGGAAACTTGAAAGCATTGGATTCTTAGTGATTAGGAAAAAGCTAGTGGAGTTCGATCAGCGTCGGATGAGAAATGACTATTCACTACAGGCAACGGATGATGGTTGTGCACGATCATGGATTGACTGAAGTTAGGAATTAACACTGTTGATCCCAGCTCAGCAGTCTAAAAGTTAAGCGTTTGTGCACAAGGCTGCAAGCTCTGGTTCGATTACTGCTCTCAAGTAAGCGGATGTACACTGCTGAGAAATCCCATAATAGGTCGAAACGGCTGTCCAGTGCTATTAAGTTTCCAATATTGGTCTAGCCAATATCAGTTCGTGTTTACAACTGTTAAAACAAACCTATCTCCACAAAAACCCCTACACTAACTTTATAAGCTGCCAATAATCCTGAACAGATGGCGTGACAGATAGGGAAACCACAATATTAAATGACTATATAATAAATCTATAGCTGCAGTATACTGATATTTGCATGAACGTTTGTGGAAACTGATAGACGGCTTTGATGTTGAGCAATCATCAGTGCTTATTTAAGCATGTTTACATAATTCATCAACGTGGCACAACAGTCCAACTCATCAGTTGAATTACATTATTCCACTTCAGCAATAAGCACAAAAATAATTACCCTGTGCGCCTAATAGATGTTTATCATGTATATCAGCACTGATGCCTGTCTTTAAAATGAGATTTCTGGGACTAGTCTCCAAATGTTTATTCGTTGGCTCCTTCAAAAGTGTTATACTGACCGAAATAAATATTCCCTGAAATTACATCATACCACGGTAGAACTGAATTGCTGATGCATATAGCCCGTACTCAAATGGGATTAGAGAGAGTTCTTATATTGGTTAAGGATAGAATAATATTTGCTCCCACAGTCATCATTGCCGTTAAGGGTGATCTTTACCTTCAAAACAAGTCAATGATTGTAGTGACGGCTGTAATACGGAAATTTGAGGTAGTACTTGACAGGAACTTCCATTATTTACCATTTTTGTTAACAAGAACATGTCTTTTTGTAGTAGGCACGAAAGAACCAGATCGACTGATGCCACGTATAAAAACTCTACAGTCCTTAAGTGCACAGAACTCGGGAACATTAAACTCTAGACTAAGACAGACATTACTAATTACATATTTGATTTCTCGAGCGCTTCAGCTTACCATGGTTAACTTCAAAATAGTGTTCAAAAGCAAAGTTATATGAACGTTTGACTCTGAAGAGTATCCTGAGTCTACCTTAAGAGATCACGACAATGAGCAATATCAGCAAACGATGTTTGCTATCACCATAAATGTACTGATGATGAGTCCTTTTAGTCCAAAATTCTGCACATTCATTTATTATCAAAGAGTAGTCTAATAGACCCAACATACCTACTCAGTTAAATGATGACAGGATTTAATGTCTTTGAGGCCAATAATAGAACACTAAACAAATAGTTTAATGTTGCAAATACACTGGTCCTGAAACTATGACCACGTTCCTAGCTTTTTTGTAAAAATGTCATCAATTACTAAACGCACTAGAGTATACAGACGACCAATAAAAAGCTAACAAACGCGACCACTTCTGTCTATGCTCATAAGCCTTGCTTAGGTGTACAAAAATTTATGATTTTAAGGTTGAAACCCATGACAAATATGCTCAGTATTGCATAAAACGAATTGAAAAAGTTTTGATTACCGCACGCGACTGGACTGTTTACTGAGAAATTAAACCTAACACCGAAGAAATAAACGTCGAAACTATGGGTATACCTAATAAACACCACTCACTGTGATGACACTCAGTGGCAAGACCTCAAAATACCCTACTTATCCCAAGACGAAATTTTCACATAATTACAAGGGTTAATATTTGTTATTACCAGTCAGCAAATAACTATAAATGCAATGGAATGATCTTTGAGGGTTAATCAAACCGTCTGCTCGTCGTACTACTTACTTACTAAGAGTTAGTTTCAGACCTTGGTTTCTGCATCTCTCGTGTATCTCAAACTAATTTTCTAAAAGGTCTATAAAGTTAACAATAAGTACTGATAATCAATCATTTTATTCTGGTTTTCACTATACACTAGTGTTCTCGGCCACTTTAGACGTCCAGTTCATAAGTTTTACTATCTTTTTTTGGTCATGCTCACCATCTGGTGAACAGTGTCGGTTTCCAAGTTTCTAAATCTGTTCAGAAGTTAAGCAATATATGTCCTTCAGTAAAAGGTAGATGAATATCAATTTTATGCTTAGATAATTCTTGGACAGAACTTACTACAACAATTTGGCCAGAATGAGATATCACTGACAATTTAAGATGTTATTCATAATCGAATACTCGTCAGTACAATCTTTCACACCACATTAGACAAAATCAAAAAATATTAGTAATGGCCCCTAGTTCTATTTAAAACTACTTATAGTTTGAACGACACTTCCACCATATGAGCCAATTGTTTTAAAGATATGTATGAGCATATATTTTCAATCAGCATATTTCTTTTACGTCTTAACCACAATATATAATTGACGTCACCTGTGGTACAGGTTATTAGATAGGAGAGCTTTGTTAGATAATAACATACCAGGCCGATGCGTTTAACGAATTTACTCTCTATCATCAGTTTGGATGCCAAAGTGTAGCAGTGTGAAGTCAAACACTTGAATTTTGAGGTGAATAGTTGCATTCCAAATATTTTTGTGCTGTTGCGTAGAGTGATAAGAAATTGGCATATTTTATCAGGGTTTTTAGCTTATAGGACGATGTCATACAAGTACCTGACAAGCGAATTTTATGAAGGAAGGTTGACCTGGAAAGTTAAAAGTATTCTTTCTAGAAGGACCTTCATGGCAAAGCCAAATACAAATGGAAAACGTTATCAACTTCGGTAGCCGTTTACCATACACAATGACGGGATTTTAGTCCTAGTTGGTTTGAAATCCCTGAAACAACCAAACCTACATTTGAATAGGACATACCGATATCGGAACTGCCGCAATGATTTTAATACTATTGACTTGCAAGATATATGTTGTGGTGAAACTATACTATACATGCTACTAATATGATAACCAACAAATAACAGCGGAGAAGCCAACGAGGGCAAACACAAGCAAATAAAAAGGCAGTAGAAATAAGCAAATGTATGACTAGAAAATCCAACACTAATATATTCAACTTAAGAGTTGGAATACTGAGTATTCACCTACATTTAATGTCCCGAATACCCTGAGTGCATCGTGATTTACATGACTGAATAGTAGCACATGGTATCACAGCAAAAAAACACAAGCAGAAATTACTGTTAAAACCGAAGTTTTCGAAAGCATTATATTTCATTTACAGTATACAAACAATTTCAGATTCGGTAGCTACTTGGAATTAACGAAAAGACATAAACAATAAACTGGTAAAACGGATTTTTAGAAATGAATGAAGTACAACATTGCAACGAATTGTAGAAATACTTTTTTCATGCAGAGTTTGGTGGTCGAGTTCATTTACGAAAACTAACGTCGAAACTTAATGACACAAGAATTTAAAAAAGAATACAGATATATAACGCAACAATACAACCTAAAAAAATGACAGGAAAAAAGAAAGGTAGAGAAGATCTCATTGCCTACAGCTCCATCTCTACTTTTCGCATTTGACTAAAGGGAAAAAAGAATGTGCGAAAAATAACTTCCCAGAAGACCTGACTTCCCGATGTAAATCCAGGGTTCCATTAGCCTGATCTAATTCGCATCATGTTTATATGGACATAAAATTCTCAGTGTTAATTGTTCCTTGAATATTAAGGTATTATTACAATGATAAAAACACGATTGATAGATAGAAAACACAAGGGAAAATGGAAGGACTCATTCGGATCGGTCAAACAACTGGATAAAAAAGGATGACTAATATGTTTGAACCGGCGTATTCAGCGTTAGGACGCTCAATTAGTGATCACAATCCTAAACAAGCAAACAGTTGTGTCCACTTGACACACATGTAGGAGAAACACCTTTGCTTTGTTTGAAGGTTGCACAGGATTTAAAGTAGCTGGTTTTTCATTATCCGATATCCAATATCAGCTATTAAAAATCAATTGATTCCTTTTATCTCGATTCTTGTTCGTCCCATACGGTTCCAGGCATATATATTGATATGGTATACTGATATGATTGATACACTGATACACAACAAATAACCGCTCATTTTCCACTAGAATCATCACTAAGAAATAAAAAAAGGAAAATGAGGTGAAACTCTGGAAGAATAAGTGGAATAAAAACGAAAATTTTCACAGACGTCGGATATTAGGGAAAGTCTGTGTTCCCTCTTTATGCTGAATACTTTGAGTAATTTGTGCACATTTGTGTAAAAGTGTGACTTCAGCCAGTTGTAAGTTTGCGTTTTGCCTGAATGTACCTTGTGTGGTGAAGGAGTAGGAATGGCAGTATTAGAACCTGGAAAAAAGTACACAGAATGCACTTTCAACACAGAAAGCAATAGACTGCAATTAATTCGCGTGCTCTCTGAGTTTTGATCTTCTTTCAATTAGTATCAACTTAATTACGCCTGTTACCTCCGATTGGACATAGACCGAAAACCAGCATGCTCAAACCTACTCTGTCCTGGACATCCCTTTCCAGTTCCGTCTAATTTTCGATCATTTTTCTCACATTTTTATCGATATTTTGGCGTACTGTGTTTCTTGAACTTCCTCTTTTCATTTGGCCTCGATGGTTCCAAGTGAAGGCTTGTCTTATGACGCAGTTCGGTGCTTTCCTCAGTGTGTTTCCTATCCACCTCCTGTGCTTCTTGCTGATTTCCTCCTCCGCTGAAATCAGGTTCCTTCTTTCCCACAGTAGATTGTTGTTGGTGTCTGGTCAACGGATCCGAAGTATTTTGCGTGGACAACTGCTCATAAACACTTGTATCTTGTGGATGATGACTTTCGTAGTTCTCTAGGTTTCCACCCATAAAGTAAATTGTACTGACATTTGCAATGGAAATTCTGACTTTGGTATTGATTGACATTTGTTTGGAGTTCCCGATGTTGCTCAATTTTAGAAATGCAGTTCTTGTTTTACCGATCGTCGCCTTCACATCTGCATCGTATCGACCTTGATTGTCGATGATGCTGCCCACATATGTAAAGGTGTTAATGTCCTCCAAGGCATCTCCATCAGAAGTGATTCGGTTGGTGCACGTATTTTTGTATCGGAGAATCTTGCTTTTCCCTTTATGTATGTTGAAACCTACTGCTGCTGAGGCTGCTGCCTCACATGTCGTCTTCTCTTGCATTTGTTGTTGTGTGTGCGACAGAAGAGTCAGATCATCTGTGAAGTCCAGATCGTCCAGTTGCATCCCTGCTGTCCACTGAATATCGTGCTTCCCTACAGATACCGACATCTTCATAATCCAGTCGATCACCAGTAGAAAGAGAAAGGGTGAGAGTGTGCAACCTTGCCTGACACTGGTCTTCACCTCGGACGAGTCTGCCAATTCCAATCTCGATTGTTGAACTATAGATACTGTAATCACGAGAGTTGCTACAGTGTGGACGTCGGAGCCAGAAAACGAAATTGTATTACAACTGAAAAAGATAAATTTCGTCGATGCTCCATTCCTTTAGGACTTTATCTGCACTATTTCTATACCGTCAGTTGTTCATTAAATTACTTGGATTTTATGTACGCAAATTTATCTATCAAGTATTATGTATTTTACTGTTACCTGAAAACAACATATTATTATTTTTTTCAGAAACGATCCAGGATCCTTTCAAGAGACATGGGGGCTAATAGAGTAGATAAATATGCATGAAGTGTGAACAAATCAATCATAGTGAACAACGCTAAAGCAGTCTAGTTACCAATGGAGATGTGTTTTCTGGTAGATTGTGATGCGACGCAGTATCGATGCTTGATCGAATGTCTTCAACTGATAATTTTTTTCACCGAAGCCAAGATCACCAATCATAACATCTGACAAGACAAGCTGTAAGAAGGATGACTTACCATTCAGAGGGTGTATTATAAATCAGAGAGAAAATTCAATCTAATTAAAAGACAGAACACATCACTATACGTGGCAGTTCATCAGAGCAATGATGCTCTGACCTGGGTCGTATTTTATCCGGTCGAGCTCATTTCTATGTATATAGGGATCTCAGTATATACGCTTGATCCGTTTATTCAAAATTCACGACTAGTAACTTATCGGTGACACTGCTGATTTAGCTGTTCATGCGTCCATAAGTTCATTGGTAAGATCAGTTACGGAATACTTTACCATAACTTCTACCATGGCTGATGGCAACATAAATACATACTGTCGTTTGTGTCAAAATACGTCGAATATTGTAGCGGTTTACTTTTACGAAGAAAACACAACTGCTGGAATATAAACATTTATTATTGTACCTAATTTTGACAATAGTTGTTATATTGTACACCTCTAGTTTATCTTTACTTAAGAGTATCTCTCACGCACCAAGCGTGTTATTCCCTTTTCTCATCGCCTGGACGTTAGCCGTTTGTACGCCCCCCTGTCTCGATATTATTTCGATATCACGAGGCCAATATCGAATATACTTCTACCTCTAGAATCTATTTCTTATTCGATTCTCAGAGTTCGTGGAGTAAGATTTGTACTCCCGCGAAGAAGTATAACGTACGAATTGCTATAATATCATAACCCATATGTTGTACAGTCTATAAAATAGATGATTGAGCTACATGGGGGAACAACTATTAGTGTGACACCGTGTCTCTACCGATGACACGTCATGTTCAATCTCCCAGTCTTCAGTGGCTGTTTTATTGTCGATCACATTCATACTTGCATTATGTTCATAGGAAATTCCCAGGTAGTCATGTTGATTCATAACAACAATCCGTTTGAAAATAGGGATCATATGATCATTTATTTCCATAGATCTGTGGTACAACATTTAGCGGAGAGGAGAAAGTTCAAGTTCTAGTTGATTTAGTATAGTTCATGTGTAGGTAGCTTGGTTTTTTATATTTATCCTCCTGGAAGAAATCCAACGTAGGTCGTCAATTTTTGGACCTTATACCCAGGAATAGTTTTGTATCAACAGGTAATATATGAGTAAAGCAGTCGAAAATAAAGGAGTCAGGAGGTGCATTCTAAAAAGTGTTTGTATTTCGAGATCGTTCTCAACTAAACTGCTTGGTTGTAGACAGGGATGCATTGCATTGTCTACTGAAGGGAGATCAGACGCGGATACCTGACTGAGCGCCTTAAGGTAAGGTGTTTTCAATGCTAAAAATGAAATTAAAATCAGTACTGAAAGCATATCGAACAGATTATCTTCAGTTTTTGTTTATGCAACATCTACCGCATAGCAACTTTAATAATTTCGTCTAGTTTGTTGTTTTGAGAGATATTTATCGACCTAAAAGTTTACCAATGAATTTTACAGCACTGAGGCAGTGTGCCGTGAAACATCTAGCTAACTTGATACTAACCGGTATAATCGACAATGAAAATGCACGTTTAAAACTCATTGTACAATTTTGGGACAGAAAATTACGTAAAAAATGAGCGAAAGTGTAACGTGTGCAGACAAGGGTGCTAGAAACGACAAGTCTTTTCATCAGGGTGCGATTCTGAATTGTCTTCATCCCTTCCAGTGTCAAGTTTGAAATTTCCGGGTGGATAGCTTAAATGGCGGGTTAATTGATCAACCTATTTAGGTTAGGTTTCAGACGTAAGTTGTTCTTAGTGTTCCTACTGGACTTTTTCAACCAATTTCTGAAAGTTGTCCAAAATCTCTCGGAAAATTATCCTCTCTCTGAAAATGCACTTATTTTAATGCTTGTATATGTTTTTGAATGCAAATAACCTGAAAAATAATTATTTGCGCTCTCATTATGTATGTGTGCAAATCAAAAGGTGACATTATCTAACAATTGTTTGTAAATAGGTTTTTTTACCAATTTTAGCAATTTTTACAACGCAGATTTCTATTATTCACCCAGTCTTTTAGGTTAAGAGTTAACTTCGCATGAAATGTGCAAATTCTTATTCAGCAGGAAGTCTATACAAGCTGTATCAGTAGGGTAGTTTTAATTTCCAAACGAATTATACTTGCTTCTTGAGCTGGTTTTCTTTTAAGAATTTGGAGTGATCTAATCCCTAAACATAGGTGTCATCTACAATCCTGTTTAACAGACGAACGGTGATTGATATTACCCTGTGAGCTTCCTGTAGTTGCTCTCTGGACCCTGATTGTTTTGAAGTATGGTAGTTAAATCTATAATTGGTCTTAGGAAATAACTCATTCTACCTAGGTTCGTACGAAAATTTGGAAACTCCCTGGATCAGTTTAGTTGTGATATCTTGAAAGTTCCCAACCGCTCACGAACTTCTATAAGAAAAATTTGATTTAAGTTAGTGATAAGATTTGGTCGCTATGCCACTCAGAATAAGAGGGAAAATTAACTTAGTGATAAGTGAACTAAGGACAACGTTATTTGTGACCGAAATATAGCACTAGAAATGTAGGTGAATAGAAGCAGGCGCAGTCGAAGAACATAAAGTTAAAAAAAATATGGGAATTAGAGGCAACTGCACTTCCGCTAAAGATTTTGCGCCATTTCACTCGATATCTTCATTCATCGACTACGGCTATTGTGCTGGCCCCGACCGGTAGGTCTGCTGTTCCGAATGTGGCTTGAACCAGCAGTTCGAGACTTCATATTTTGGCGCCATTTCGAAGCTCACCTAGTACTTTCAAATGACCTCAATGACTGACCAATGTGAGATACCCACCCTTGCTGGCACAAAAAAGCTATAATTAGCTTAAGTTAGGGACGAACGGCTGACCTTGGTGAACTAAATATTGCTTTAGTTGCGTATGTAGATGTAGGTCTCGAAACAAGCATACTTGACAACGCTAACACACTCATTAAAAGCTGAATAGTTACTGAAGACAAATACTTTTCTTTTTAAGAAGGTTATTGCATTTCCCTGGAGCGTTTTCTTTTTACAAAATGTCCTTGAGCAACAGATTTTAAAAACAAAACATACTAACTCACGCGTTTAGAATTCTGCCAGTTTCGTTTCATCACTATCTTTCACAGCTATTTTACAAATTGATCTCACCGCCAAGTATGAGTGCACCAAGTATATTCACATTTTCCCTTCTATCGGATTTTTTTGCAGACATTAAACTACCACCGGTAAACAAACACTTTCATACATGCTTCTGTAACAATAACGTTCCTAAAGACCAAGCTTAACGTTACCAATTACTGAAATTTTCAGCCACTTCAGCCAAATAAAAGCACGATCTATGAGACAGGTTGGTGGAAGGTGAGTTAAGTAAACTCTATACTATGCTTGAGATTTTTAAGATGCAATTTACGAAGTCACAGTGCGTTTGCTCGATATGTTTTAAATTCAGATCAGTAGTTAAACAGGTTTATACTGAGGGAAAAAGCTATAAGTTGTTTCAAAAAACTATAAGCATGAATAAATGTATCACGTAGAACCTGGCAGTTGTGCACATCAATTCAAGTTGCCACATGTCCTTAATACAGTATAATAAAAATTTTCAGGCGAACTCCATATTAGTAGAAGTAGTAACAGTATTATTGGTCATAGAAAAGATTAGTCACAGAAGAAAATACTGAATAAATAAATGTAAATTAGTTAAGTAAAAAATATACACGAAATTCGGAAACTTAGGATCTAAAGGAAGGGGAAGGGTAATTGCACTAGCATCATTGTGATCTATTCTCAGGCATGTCATCCAAAGTCTAGTTGTTGGTTGCAACGATCACATGAACTATAAACAGGGAGTTTGCACTCACTTACGTGACTGTCCAATAGTCAGTGTCTTTATTGATTGATACCATATATTGGTTTTTTTCTGCCCTAGCTTTCTTCCAACCTACAACAACCTCATCGCACATAGAGATAGTTGGTGGATTTGCACACGTAGTATGTATCCCAACCATCTCACTTGATAAAGTTTAAGTACATTGTCAATCAATTTACGATTTTTACTCAGTACTCAGCGCATAACTTTAGAATGCCTAACTCAAGGGTCCCAAACTATGTGAGCAATAGTTCCAAAACACAAATTGTCGAATACTAACAACCTAAGAATATCTTCTACTTGTCCTATAGTAGTTAGTAAAAGCCAACTGAGATTCCGTCGCATTAATCTCCCGGAGCTGAGTAGGCTCGTAAGATAAGGGAAAGGGTCAACACACTCATCTACTTCACTCTATATCACTAGTTTAGTCGTCGATGCAGCCTAGTCCTACAACAACATTTTACATTTAGAGTGAAAGAAATGTATTCCAATCATATTAGCATTGCTGCTCAATGTGGTAAGAAGACTGCATTTTGTAAGCGTTTTTCAGCAAACGGGACTATATTGCCTATGCATTCCAAGTCAACAAGAGAACTTCCTGGTAGATCAATTCCTGATGAGTCAGACAAGTGTTTTCACTAAAATAATATCTGTGAAAAAGTTAAAGAAAAGTGGGAAGAGCTGATAACCCTGGTAAACACCACTTGAAGTTGTCATTTTTGGTAACAGTTTCCAATAGACTCTGACTCAGCCAGAAATATCTGAATAGAATTTCAGGTTTCATGTACTTTTTGGCGGTTGATATTGGATATATTCCTAAATTTCGTATACTTCTTGTCCTGATGACCGTTACTAGATAACCTCAATGGTGTAAATATCAGAAAGTGATTACGAAGTGTTGTTGACGTTAATTATCACACCACATTGATCATAAAACCACAGGAATATGAAGCAAAAGCGAAAATGATTATTGCTAACACTTCTACTACCTCTACTACTATGGGATTTAAAGTGACAGTTGTATCTCTGTGCTAATGTGATGTGGCAACTTGAACTGATGTACGTACATACGAAGTTCTATGTTGTTGTTGACTGACTGAGAATGATATACGAGTACAGAAGAGCAAGCGAATAGGATTTAATTTTGCATATACATTATTGGGAAAATGAATGTGTCATCGAATTATTTAGGCAGCTAACATTAAAGCGAGTAGAGTGAATGTGCGTATAGGCGGTAAGCAATGCTCATTCACATGTTCATACAAACGCAGCAATAATAAAGGTTCAGTGGTAAAAACCAGTTATTGCTGTTCGAATAACAAGTTAATAAAAGGGCTTGGCGGAACCAAATGTAAACAGATTCAAAAGAGCGTGAATTGCATAAACTTCTTGGTATACCTTCCAATGTACAGGTCACAACCACAAGAAATACAACTACGGTCGGGAATCGGTAGTTCTGATTGTATTTCAGAAACTGGTTAAGAGGGAATATCTGGTTGACGCACCCACTTCCAGGTCTAAAATTAGCCTAGTTTTCCCTAGTTTAATCTTCTTGAATATTGGTTAAGGTTTTAAGTATAGCGAAGGACAATATTTGGGATAATATATTACTCAAGCTGATTCGTATGTGAGTATCCTTTTTCACAGACTAGAGCCACTGACGATTGGAACCAGTTACATGAGATTCAGTCCAGTCCCGCTGAAAGTGGGCCACCATTCTTAAAGAGATGTGCCCTCCAATACTCATAATCAATCTGTAAATTTTTAGTCAGTCAACCTTTGAGTTTGTTAATAGTATCATATGGTGTTTGGAAATTTCTTTGGGGAATACGCCAACGTGGCTTAGCGGTTAAGGCACTCAAGTTCAAACCACTGAGTTGCAATTTAGGGTATTCGGACAGTATCCATAATTCCTGAGAAAATAGTTTAGCTCAGAGTTACAAGATCTCTTACTTGGTTACTATTTTATACCATCCCGAGATCCTCATAAGGCTACACTTGTCTTAAATATATATACTAATTACTGCTTTGCTCATAATTCTACATTTGAGAAAAAAGTTAATATGATTTCAAAATATAGCAAGGTGATTGATAGCTACTGAAATACCTTAACAAAAAGAACATTCAATAATCATCTACCCCACCAGTCTCTAATGTGTCAAAGTAAGCTAGTAATTTAACTTAATTTTAAGATACAAAAGGACGACAAATAAGATGACTTTCTGAGTTTATTTGTATTGATTATCTGAGTCTCCCTACTGGTGTTTAGGACTGCAATTGGCCAGTCTCATATGTGCATCCCGTGCGAATCGCCTTGATATAGCCATTACGTCACAAGCATCATAGCCAGATATGGATAATGGGTAGTAGTGGAATCCAGGACGCCAGTTTCGTTCTTTTTGGGACTCGTCAGCTGGGTGTACATGCGTCTCAGAGTTGATGTTCACCCTGTTACTCGGACTTAGTACAGTTTTTTTTCAAAAACCATCGTTTTATGCACTTAGTCACTAAGTTCAGATGATCACGGGATTGTGCAGTGGAGTGAAGTTTGACTCCTTTTGTATTGGTTAGTAGTTTGAATCTTCCCATTAGTGTTTACGACTGTAGTTGATAACACAATAGTGTGTGAGGCGAACGGCACTGGATTCGAGTTCTGGAGTGAACGTCAACTGAAATGCTAGTTCATCCGGTTGATAAGTCTCAATTAGGACAAAACGCGCTTTGTGGATTCCACTACTAGCCACCATCCAGATCTGCCTATTACTTCTGAGTTTAATTTAAAGTATTTTGTGAGTTATCAGTAGCTGAAAAAAGATTGCGAATGGAAGTTCTACCTAACTGTTGAATTCGTTCCCTTCTGACTGTATTTTTTCAGGTGGTAACGGTTAATCGTTGATGCAGAATAGATGAGTCTTGACTGGAGAGTACAAAGCAAGTGGTGTATATCCTAATAAAATGGTTGCATATTAGCTAACTTAGCAGTAGTAAAATAAAAGCTTGAAGTTCATCACCTTAATTTATAACACTAATACATGAATTCACTTTAAGTAAGCAAATTAATCTTCTTGTGTGGGTGAGTCACTCAGCTATAACGTAGAACTTGGTGCGTACGTACATCAGTTCAAGTGTTTATACCACATTAGCACACAAAAATGGAACTGTCAGTTCAAATTTTATAGTAATAGAGGTAGTAGAAGTATTAGCAGTAATCGGAGAGATTAGGGTTCGAAGATATGATTCGAGAAGTACAATCCAGTGAGGTAATAAAAAGAGAAAAAACGGTCATGAGGAATTCATAAGTTTAGAATTTGAGAGAATAGATGCATCTGCGCCCTTGCTAACGATTTTGAGCCATGTCATTCAAGGTATCTAACCACCGGTTACAATCGTCTCGTAGAACCCAACCAGTCAGTCTACACCTACTAGTATGACTTAGTCCAGTTTTTGTCGACTTCATGGATTTGTTCCTGGCTGAGTACAATGTAATAAAGCACTTTGGTATATATACATCTACGTACTTAACAAACTAATGTCTTAATTATTTTATGTTACTCGTTTTAGTAAATTTATTTTGAATTACGTCCTACATTTATACAAAATTGAGTAGTTTCACCCATAATACATTTATAGTGTATGGTTATTTCATCCGTATTTTGTAATAATATAATAATAAGTTTTCTTATTTAATTTATTCGCTAAATTTTAGATGGTTTCACCATAACTTGACTGGTTTAGAAGCTGAGAAATTGTTAACTTTGAAAGGTGTCAGTGGTAGCTTTCTTGCACGTCCTAGTCACAGTACTCCGGGAAGCTTCACACTGTCAGTTCGTCGTGGTGATGAAGTTACACATATTCGCATACAAAACACCGAAGAATTTTTAGATCTGTATGGTGGAGAAAAGTTTGCCACTTTATCAGAATTGGTTACATACTACATGGAGAATGAGGGTCAACTTAGAGAAAAGAATGGTGACCTTATTGAGCTAAAATATCCTCTCATTTCGGAAGATCCAACAACTGAGCGGTACGTGACACAAAACCTCAATGTAGTTTATCGCCTAAAAGTTTAAGTATTGAAAAAGAAACTCAATAACTAATTTTATGGTGAAATAATCCTTATTAGTTTTTAATTTCCATTAAGCGAGTAAAGCGTAAAGGCCAAAAACTCCTAATAAATGAGATGCTATACATAATACTGTGGTGTGCATGTTGTTATTGAAAAGGTACAGTCCGCGTAAATGTAGGTAAATGTTTAACACATAAGTCTTCGATAGCTTATGAAATTTTTAGTGCTTGAAAAAATTTCTTATCATGTAATTCAATTTCAGCACCTAGGTTTATCTATTTGCCTTAAATAATCATAATGAATTGACTTAAATAAATCCACTTTTCGTTGCATCAATATAATAGGGAGCTTTTATTCAGTTGTTTGAGGTAGCCCCTTCAACCTGTCTATATTAGGGCAGTTACATTAACGCTACTCTGAAATTACGATAGTTTCATAAATTATTAGATAATCTCTGAGTTATGTATGTTGTCTGTGTCCCATTCAATGATCACTTGTTTCCTGTCTGTCTGTTTCATCCTTTTAGTTAATTAGGATTTCCTCCCATATTACTTTTCACTTTGGACTGTTGGGAAGTATAACAAACTAAACCGGTGTGACATTGTACTAGGTTATTTGTTGGTATTTCATTCTATTTTTAAATTATTTACAACAAAGTTTCCTAATTCATGAACCACTCACCTAAGTAATAAAATTGCCTGTGATATAGCCTTAAAATCATTGCAGAGTTTCTCGAAAACTACTACATCATAAAACCTATAGTTTCGATAGGATGTTGGTTTTGGTACATTGTGAACCAATGTAAAATAAGAATAAGGTTTGTTGTGAAACATTAAGGATAACGAATGCTAATATTTATTTCTAACTAACAAACTTTGATCCCCCAGCGTTTAAGCCCTCTGATCCATTATTTACTTAAATCCAATAACAGCTCAAACTCCACATGAGGTAAAACAGTAACACACATCCAATGAGTAATACTCATTAAACGTCCCATTCATTACGTAAAGCTGAATTTGCAATTTGAAAAACTTCCATGTTATTCATCTCTCTCAACGAAAACTTGATATCCAACGAGTCCCAAAGTTGTGTTTGGAAACTCCATCATCATAAGTTTTACAACGAGCGTTGCAAATAATAATTAATCGTGTCTGCATACGTTTCATGATTCTCTTTCTTACCAGTGACCGCAATAACATTAGTTATCTCTGGAATTATCACTGAAGGTGATGTTGAAGTGCATCTGACGGATGTTGGTTGCGAATAGTCGTCTAAATATTGAACGTGAAATGAGTTATGTTTTCTTCGAATTTTAGTAAACGAGTCCCAACCGTAGCTGCCACTTTGACGTGATGGTCGTGCTTGCCTATCGTGAAGACCCAACCGAGCTATATTGGCTGGAACATATGTTCTTGTAGGTGGAATGGAGAACGATAAGACTAAAAGCAGCTACTTAAGGTCTGAGGGCGATGTCGTACTGCCTACTGTAAGATGTTTCTTCGGACAACCAGCATCTGCAGCAATGCCGCACTTTCACAAGGAAGGAAGGGGTAAGAAAAGGTCGACCCCAAAAATGTCATACCTCACCTTACCTCATGGATTTCCATTTCCGGCGCTAAGGCGTTTTAAACAAGAGCGGCGCTAACACTTTAAAAACTTCTCATGAAAAGTCCATGCGTGACCGGCCTGAAGCAGTTGTCCCTTGGGCTCTGCGGTCACCGTCTCAGGTCTCCGAGACCAACACTAGTCTAACTTCCCTTTTAGGTTGCTCGAGAAAGACCGCTCCACAGTGCTGGCATCCGGGAAGTGACATCCACCATCGTACCTGTAACAAAACACGAGATCGAATCAGTCACAATCAAATTCTTCCTACACCCCACAACTAACTCTTCTCACATTCCTTTATGACCCTGCACCGCTAATGCAAACGATTCGAGTTCACGAAACGTTATTCCTGGTCTCCTGAAACCTCGTTCCAAATTAAATGTTGGAGCATATAATGTCCGGAAATTGTGTCAATTAGAGCAACAGGTTTCATCAGCTTGGAATTTATAATCTCGCACCATCGATGTATGCTGCGTCTCGGAAACGCGCGTACATGATCCGAGAAAAATCACTAATTCGATTTCACCTTGTCAAAATAAAGAACCAACTCGATTTACTCTACGTGTATCTGTAAGTTCTGATGCTACTTCCCAGGGTCTCGCTAGCATAGGTATAGCATTAAGTCGTAGGGCAGAACTAGCTCTCCTAGACTGGATCCCAGTAGATAGTCACTTGTGCGCTGTCTGACTGAACGGGAGAGTAAGGACTCGTAAATATAGGGACACACCGTTGCTCCATCGTCGTATCTGCCTACGTTCCCACTGACTGCATTTCAGACGATGTGAAAGATGAGTTCTACAGAAAGCTTTCGGACTTCCTCCAAAAGGTTAAGCGTTCTGATATCGTAATCGCTACTGATTTCAATGCTAGTGGAAAGGAAAGACGCCTGGGTTGATCCTATGTTGTCGCGGCTGATCGAACTGATAATGGCGACCGATTGTTGCAACTGCGCTCAGATAACCGCCTATTTCTAGCAAACACTAACTTTAGGCATAAGGAAAATCATCTTTTGAGCTGGCGACCCCCAAAGTCGTCCTAACGCTGGACCCAACTAGATCACATTGCCATCAGCCACCGATGGAGGACTGTCGCTCGTCCTGGGGCACATGTTTAGATTGAGATCATGCTCTAGTGAGAGCGCATATTTGTTTGCGACTTACCGGACGTAGGAAAGACGCCGCATAAAAACCTTTTAGGTTTCTACTTACTGATAGCAGAGTTATGAATATATTTCAGGAACAACTAGAAAAACAGGCAGCCATTTATTAAGTGATGGCCACCCTGAGGCAGCTTGGAATGATACTAAAGGAGCTATGTAAACAGCAGCGATATCTGCTAGTAAGGTAAACCATAAGGCTAGAAAGAGGCCATGGATCTCACCAGCATTCACTGAACTCATATCACCTGGCTCTGAACATAATGAAGAGCGAAGTCAGCTTAGGTGCAGACTGATAAAAAGCCTACACAATGATCGCAAACAGTGGTGGGTAGAGAAAGCGAGAGAGATAGAAAAGGCAGCGGCGATAGGCAACAGTGGAGAGTTATTCAGACTTATCAGGGAAACCGGTATTAGGATCCCGAATGTGAGTGAAACTATCTCGGAAAAGGATGGGACAACTATTCATTCTCAATCCGGGAGATCGGATCGATGGGTAGAACGTGTAGATCGAATCCTAATCTTCTCCATTACTGCTAATACTTCGACTATCTCTACCACTATGTGATTTGAACTGACAGCTGAGTCTCTGTGCTAATGTGTTACGGTAACCTGAACTGATATACGTACGTACGAAGTTCTACGTTGTAACTTACTGACTGAACTGAAAGGATTAATTTCTAGGTAATGAAAAATTACAGCTTACTTTCTCACAAGCCTTCCGACCGAAAATCGAAATTTCGTAGCATGTTGACTTCTAGTAATTCAGTCTGTCTCAAATACCGAGTATCCACTTTCGCTATCCCATTTTCGGGAAATTATCCCTACTATTTGAAGGTAGTGAATAAGATTTTCTGACTGGAGTTTATAAATATGTAGTTTTTAACAGTTCATTTCAAGATAGAAAACACCTATTACACTCCACGCATAAGTGTTTTGAGTCCTTAATAGAGGTTGTCTTACATCTCATCTTAAATTAGAATTCGTTTTCTATGTTTTAAAGTGAGCTAATCGTTTACAAATCGTTATAATACATTCGCTTTTGAAACCGTTTTTCGATGCATTTATGAATGATACTCTATTCCAATAAAAACGAAAAATGAATATAGCTGCAAATGTAGGGCTAGTTTTAACCACTTAGTTACTTCTCTATCTATAACAGCCTACAGTGGGCGAATGTTTATGAAATCTGTGTTATCGGTTGGTCAGTTTTTTAGCATGTAATAGGCTACTCTGTATACGTTTCAGTCCAAAGAATGTATAAATGTGATGTTTAGTTTGCCGTATTGGTGTTTCTAGGATTCGCTCATCATGATCTCACATAAATTTAAGGTAGTTTAAGGTTTCCAATTTGTCATGGATCGTTTAATCCGATAGTATATCTTATTACCAGATACATGCAATGTACAATTGGGATTATAAATCTTAAAATTGCTACTTGTTAACAGGTTTGAAATCATTCAATGTTATTTTAATATTTTCATATCAGTGATTATTGAATAGTCTACATTTTCGTTTATATTGATTTGATTACATGACTAGTCATTTTTAGGTTTAATATAAAAATATTTTAATACAGTCTTATTTTTTACAGTTGGTTTCATGGAAAAATTACGGGAAAAGAAGCTGAAAAGATGCTCCTAGAACGGGGCAAACCTGATTGTTTTCTAGTTCGTGAATCTGTTCACAGGCCAGGTTCTTATGTTCTGTCAGTTCTGACAGGTGAACAAGTTGCACATATTATGATTCATGGGAAGCCGAATGGAATGTATGATGTCGGTGGAGGGCATCAGTTTTCTTCATTAAAGGAATTAATAGACTTCTACACAAACACTCCCATGGTCGAAAAGAACGGAGGTTTGGTGTCACTAAAACAGGTAAATCAAAGTTGATAAATATTCAAGAAAATAATATGGTTAGTCAGTCATAGTCAACGTGGAGTCTGGTACAAATTTATATCAACTTGAGCTACCATACAACAAAAATGGATGAAACCAATAAGACTGTTGTTAGTAGAGTTGATATATTAATCACAATTATAATAAAAAAGACTAGACATTCGAGAACATGGCTTAAAAATAACGGATAATTTCCGGTAATAAAGGTGCAAATTTATGTTAACACTTAAAATCTAGGGGAAAGTAAAGATTGAATACATCTACACCACTATAACCAGTTCGTAGTCATTTCGTCTAACATTTCCAAAAGTTGATCTCGGTAGATAAAGCTGGCAGGTAGTCTGTGCTCACCATTTAAGTCAGCATGAATGCGTGTTTGTTTCATCATTCAATGTTTTTCCACTACGTTCGCTGGTTTATAAGCATTTATGTATTGTAAACCACTACAGTGCCTGTTCATAATTGAAACGGAATTCATATCCTATCAGGTTCGTGCCTTATTTCATCCTATCCTATCCCGGTTCTGAGCTTTTGTAAAGTGTGGTCAACTGAATATCAGGCTGTTTTAGCTTATGGTTGGGTTACGTGTGTCAAAGACAGACGACCTAAATTTCTTAATCTTCTGTCATAGTATTTTTCAAATCTTTTCCATATTTGTACTATTAAACCTGAGACATTGAAACTGAAAATGGGATTTTCAGTAACGAGTAGAGTAGTTTTATCATGGCATTATAGATTGGTTGTCACATAAAGTTACAGAGCCAGTTCTATCTCTTACTACTAGCTGTCTAATACATTTACATAAATCAGCTATTTTAAAATAATTCTAAAATCTTGCAGTCCATTGTCACCATTATTATTCGTTATACTTTTTTGAATGTATCAATTGTTTTACTAAAGAAATATTTGGTGATACCATCCATATTCCTCATTCCCCACCGATCCTAAAAACTACTAATTGTTTCTCTATTGTAAGAGAAATATCAGTTAATATAAACAAGCTATAGAAAACTTTCGTTTCAGTTACTTATCACTAACCACCGTTCTAATTGGCTAGTTTCAGTCTGATATTAAAAATTACATATCATTCTTTGTTCTTGTCATGGAAACTTCAGTCAGATTTGTAGCATCCCGATTTCCTAGTTGTTGTATGACTTATGATCACAATGACTTACTAAGTTTAAAATTCAATTGAAAACATTTGAATCTGTCAAATGACGTCAAACATAATGTAACTTTCGTAACTTCCTTCTCCAATAAAGACTGGTTATTTTCGTTTGGCTTTTCCTTCATCTTAGTAATTGCTAAAATAAGCAAGCCTCAAGTTGCGTGGGTATTTTCTAAAGTTAAATAAGCTAACAAATACAACCATTTCTGATTTTTATTACTTAAATCTTTCCATAACACTTCAACTTAGTTACTAATCTGACATAATTATTTCTACATTCAAATATAAGCTTGAAGGTGGATATATTATTTTAGATCACATAATTTTACAGTAGCATTTATACAACATAACTGGATCTGTAATTGTCAATGGATCCTCGTATACTGTGATGTATATATTTAAGGCACCAAAATGTTACTCTACTTTTTTTCAGAACAAATAATAACAAAGTGAATACTGTCTCACAAACAAGGTTTTTATGTAACTATGTGTTTTATTTACTAATGTACTTTTTTGATGTAAGCACGTATGTTTCATTTCTTAAAACCTAGCGGTCCATTCAAGTATTCGTGATAATCCGTTTTTTTTCTCACTTAGCCTTTCAATGCTACTCGATTTAACGTTTCTACCATCGATCAGCGTATGCACCAGTTGGAACAAGAAAGTGGCCATGGTTCTGGATTAGCTGGGTTTTTAGAGGAATTTGAAGAGTTGCATCAAGAAGCCCATGTAATTCTATTTTTTGTTGGTTATAATTTTACACCGATTGATTCTTGATGTGCTTGTTTTCAGTTATCACGGTGAAACATCGAATATATCTAAATTTCACAAAAAGCGATCTATATAACTCTGCTTATTTCAAAAATTCATTTCTAAACAATCTCACAAGATTTCATTTTCTGCACGAATACCCTACCATCAATTTAGATTACATACTGTGATCTTTTCCGATAATCTTATCCAACATCTTATGATAATGATTTCCAAGAATTTTCCTTTAAATCTCAGTCAGTCAGTTACAACGTAAAACTTTGCATGTAAGTACAGCAGTTCAAGTTGCCGTATCACACTGTCAGTTCAAATCACATAGTGGTAACGATAGTCGAAGTATTGGCAGTAATGGAAATGATTAGGGTTGGAGATGTTATTCAAGAAGTACATTTCAGTGAGATAAATTTAGAAAAAGGTAGGGGTGATAAGGAATTCAGAAGATTAGAATTGCAAACGATTTTGAGCCATGTCATTCAAAGTCTCTAACCATCGGTTACAATCGTCTCGTGGACCCTAACCAGCTAGTTTACGTTTACCAACATGACTCAGTCCACTTGTCACTTACTTCATGTTTTGGTTTGACCACCCTAGCTTTCGTCCAACTACTACTACACCACAGAGCATCGCTCGTTGAGGCAGTCGGTGGTTGGGCATATGTAACACATGTCCCAACCACTTCATCTGATGAAGTTTCACTACTTTATCTATTGATCTGCCATCCCTTCCCAGCGACAGCACTACTTACTCGGTTGTCCCAGGATACACGAGCTATGCTCCGAAGACGTCTATAATCGTATACTTACGATCTACGAATATCCTCAACTCGTAATGGCAATGTTTCACAGCCATACAGTAGAAAAAAGCGAACTGCTGCGCAGTACACTTGTCGTTTGGTTAGCAAATGGATATCTCGCCCGCGCCATAGGTGATGCAGGTTGGCAAGAGCCAATCGAGCCTTCTGTATCTCTGCTGAGATAGACAGAGTCGAACGCCGCTCTAAGGTCGAGAAACACTGCTGTTTTGGGAAGTATGAACGTGTGTCTATGTTCTGGGACCTGATGTTGGTTGAATATCTGGTCTATACATCCACGTCCAGATCGTAAACTAGCCTGATTTTCTCGGGTCTACACTTCACGAGCTCTAGTTAGGCGTCGGTGTACTATTTCAGATACTATATTAGTTAAACCGATTCATCCGTGATTGTCACAAGATGACTTATGTCCTATTTCGTAGACTGGCATAATCAGTGATTGAGACCAGTCAGACGGGATTATGTCTGGTTCCCTTATCGTACCTAAGGTCTCAGTCAATCTAACTGTAAAAACTGGATCACCATCTTTGAAAATCTCAACCAAAGATAATCGATGTTATTGCGGTCATTAATAAGAAAGAGATTCATGAAATGTACGAAGACACACGATTAGTAGAAGTTGATACTACTCGTCGTACAACTTATGATGATACAGTTTCAAAACAGAACCTTGGGACATGTTAAATATCACGTTTTCGTTGAAAGGGATGAATAACTTCGTGTTTCTATTTAAAGCCAATAATTTATCGATATTACGATATTAACTGTAGCTTCAGGTTCGTGGGTTTCAATTTTTTTATCTTTCCCGAAGTATGACGGGTTTGATGAATTGCGATATCTCATGTGTAATATCAGTCTTTTTGGTTTTAGTTATAATTCATAATATTATGCTATCTGTATTTATAGACAAGGTTAGTAGACTTCGTTATTTGAAAAGGTTTTACAGTTACTGATTGTGATTTTAATGCTCTTCTGTATTTTAGGTGAAGAATAATCCACGTGTGGAAGGATATCAGTCTTACAATCGAGACAAAAACCGTTACAAGCATATCCTTCCTTTTGATTGGTCTCAAGTTAAACTTCTTGATGGTGATCCTGAAGAACCGGGTTCTGACTATATCAATGCTAATTACATATCTTGGCCTGTAAGTTATTTAACAGGTATTTGTCTGTTGGTCTTTTTTAGTTGTATTAGATCTAATTACGTACGTTTTGCTACTTCTTGGCCGATACCTGTTTCAATCAAAACTTTTAACTACGTATAACTCTTGGTCAATAAATATTATATTTTCTGTTTTACGTTAATTTTCTTTTGGGAAAAATATTCAGTTTTGATCTCTTCTCATAAGGTCAAATAATTAACTCAGGTGAGATCAAAGACGGGAATTGAAGCGTAGCTTTTTATCTATTGAGGCAGCATTCTTACGCTCAAATTATAAACAGAAAAATAAACATGATCCGGTTTCGAAATTCATTAGTGGATTACAGTATCGTTTTCAACACCAGTGTATTAGTCGTAATCCCTTTGGCCTTACCGACTTACATTTCTTTACGTAAAAGCTGTTTTACGAATCCCCGTATTTTCTTCTCTTATTCGTCTCTCACTGTCATCGTCGTCAATCTGCCTAGTCGAACTCGGTTCGCACCCTCAATAAACTTACCTCCTATTCGTCCCTGTTCCAAACCAAATCAAATTACACACATTAAAACATTAGACACATGCCATCAAGTCTAACGTTAGTTATGTAAGAACAAATGAGATCACACTATAGACGACTTTGGTTACTTAAAAACAGAAATTGTTTGAGTTAGCAAATGACTTTTGTATTCAAGAAAAACTAACAAACAGACTTATAAAATCGTAACTTTGTAAGACATAAAAAGTGTCTTGCAAATCCTCGTATTTTCTCTTCCTATTCGTCTCTCTTAGGTTGCTTGACGACTATCAGTTTGTTTGTTTCATTTTGAAATGAGATATGCTTGCTTCAAATGCAGCACTCTTTGAAACCAACCATGGCTGGCGGCTAAGTTTTCATATGTGACTGGAAAAAAGTGTAGTCATTGAGTTAGTGGTTTGTTGTTTTTATAGAAAACAGTGATTCGGTATCCGTTTTGTGACGATGTCCGTGTGTTTTTGTCCTGATAATCTTCTGATTCAAATTTCGAACAGATTATTTAAACCATTACTTCAACATTTCGAGATATTCGTTTTTATTGTACCAAACTTATTGTAGGTTCATCTGACCGAATCTCTTTCTAATGGTAGTTCTTTCTGTTGTGTCAAATATCAGCCAATTTCTTCAGTTCCTGATCTGAATAATAATAATAATAATCACTTTAATACTTCGATCACTACCTCCAATTCTCCACCCACTCCAAATAGTTCTGCTGCATTTTTCTTTAATGGAAAACCACGCTATATAGCCACCCAAGGGGCTGTTGCTAATTCACAAGATGCATTTTGGCGCATGATATGGCAAGAAAAATGTGCCGTTATCGTTATGATCACAAAAATAACGGAGCGTGGTAGAGTAGGTCTTTTTTTCAAATATCTGTCTTTTTCGCGTCAAGTTCTGTAAATTTAAACAAGCACATAACTAATGTTTTATCATGACGTTTTCTGGTCATTACGCCTCTCTATTTTTCCTGAATTAATAATTGTATGAGAATTTATATATATATATATATATATATATATATATATATATATATATATATATATATATCGTATTATATATAGGGATCTGTTGAGTGAGTGGTGCTTCAGTGATTCAAGTAGTCGGAAACTTGCATACATCAATTCAGAAATTAGTCGCTAATCAAAGAATAAGTGTAGTAAAAACTTGATATTCATCAAGAATAATTCTAAATAGTACAACTTAGCTGCTTTAGTTATGACAGATAGTGACCTTGAAGGCACACATCAAACTGGCTTACCAGAAATAACATTTAATTACGATAGGGCAAAGGTCATGCAAGAAATCTAATTGAAGAAAAAGCACTCGCCGTACCTGTTGCTAGTTAGGCTTTACCAATATTAATGAAGATAAAGTAATCCCATAACTGCTTAACTGACTTTTATAAATACATATACTTTGAAACTGTGTCGATCTTTGTAATAAGTACTAAAGTAACTAAAAAATCAGAAATATTTCATGATCACTCAGTATGTGGTCTTATGTAGAATGCAGTAATACATAGGCTTGCTGTGAGGCACTCAAGTCTAACCGATCTGTCAAACCACTTTTAGGTCGACCTTTTATTCTGATACCTACTAAATAACAATAATTAGTTTTTCAAAATAAACTAAAAGAACCCTAGTCTGAATTGGTGACAGCTATCTAGTATTACGAGCAAGTAGTTTCTACAGTTTCAAGTGAATAAGATTGTGAATAATTGACGAGATGAATGGCAGCTGATCGTTAGTTTGTCGATCGATTATTGAACTCATATGTATTACTTTTAGTTTTAGTTTCGTATGATTTTTTTATTTTGACTTTATGATCACTTCCCTTACTGGTTCTGCTTTCTCGTCTAATAGCACAAAGATGTTGTCGACGGAATTTAGCACTTCGACTGTTGATTTGGACAAGAGAATCGTTTCCAAACATATGGTCCCCTTTATCGAGTCTCTGGCGTGAAAATGTACACAGAAACAAAGGAAAAAGTCCACAATATCAGATGTAAAAGGATATACAAATCAATTTTCTGTAAAACACTGACTAATAATCAGGAATAAAAATAAAACCAGAACAGATAACAGACACTCATAAAAACTTAAGGTTCATCAGACGAATAAATGATAGTCTTTGTTGTGTTCTAATTCGAAAATTTAAAAGAATGGAGATAGGACTTGAAAATGTTTCGAGATAAATATCCAGACAGATAAGAACCAAACTCCAGCTTTCGTGTTATGATAATTTGTCTGGTGCACTCTGCGCCAAAAACGTGATATATTAATTCCTTTCACACTTTTGTCATATAATGTTAAACAGAAAGGTAATGAGAGATTTGGGCACCTTCTTGCATTATAGGTAATTACTTTTTTGAAACAAATGGATTGCTTTATGATAATTATTAGACAAATACAAGTTTATTTTCAATTACAGAATAAGTGCATTCGCTATTGGCCAACTGCAGAAGAAGGCAAACGAGAGTTTCCGAATTATGGTGGTACGATTCGCGTCCAACATTTATCGGAAAGGAACTCCGTTAATTACACTCTACGTGAACTTTATATGACTAGAGATACCTCCATATCCACAAAAAACCAAGAAATTCAGTCTTCTAATTTATCAGAAGCTGTTACTCCTTCTACTTGTTCGAGTCCTACCATCTCCGATGTACATCTTAATCAGAAGGACTGTATGTTAAGTAAGACGAAATCTCATCAACCCGATAACACTCCTGCTACCTCCAAGAGTCCTGAAAGTATATCTGGAGAAGCAAATACAGGAAATGGACATACTGTTTATCATTATCATTTTACTGTTTGGCCCGATCATGGAACACCTAGTGATCCTTCATGTGTACTGGATTTTATGCATGATATATCTGCTCGGCAGGTAAATGGAATACTTGTTCTATTCATTTTATGATTTTTCTTAAAAGTATACTTCTAAATTTCTCAACGAGTAGACATATCGAGGCCTTATCGTATCTCAAATACCTACTGGGTATTTCTCTGTAGCCTGAGTGGTTGAGTCAGTTTTATCAAATTGCTGATACGTCTTTTTGACTTTTATTAAATGGAGAAAAATGGATACATTGAATAAATCAATTTTCGACCGAGTGATAGGTGCATGTGTGAGTAGAACATGCCACTGCTGACCTAATTTTCTAGGCATATATGTGTATAAATAAGTGCGCATACATTCTCTATCCGGCTTAGTCAATAAAATCCCTTCCTCAATCTCACTCTTTTCACTGGAGTGATTATTCAAGCTAGTGCGTAGGAAGATCGTGTATCGAAATCGGACTCCGAAAAACTACTATAACATGTTTTACAGATGTATTTGTGTGGAAAAATGTTTACTTTTGATAACCGATCTACTACCAGCGGTTATAATTCTGCAAACTGTTAGTTTATACGTATTTGTAACACCTGAGGTTTTCAGTTTCGATTATTAACTTTTTCATATTAATATAGTGTAATCATTCACCTTCATAAATTTGTTTTAGTTTTAATTGGGAAAAAGTTTAAATTCTTCTTTTTCACAGTATACCCAGCTCTGTCTATTAAATATTCAGTTTTCACACCATTTCTTATCACATCTTTTTGTTTTTTTGTCACTACTTAAACTCGTAAACAATACCAATCAAAACTTAAGTTGACTTCTGAGTTCCCAGATCGCAATTCGAAATAGGAAACGGGTTTGAATTGTTTAGCGTGGAAGGAACTATAAACACTGATTACGAACTAATAACGTGTTATTACTTTTTGCTAGATAAGGTTTGTAAAACTTTTTTCTTACCTGAGTGTAGGACAATTACTTCTTCCTATGTCTTTGCAACCACTGAAGCGAGTATGCAGCCAACCAAAAATTAGCATTTCTAATGGATTAATTTGATACCTAATTTTTCGAGCATTACTATTTTATGAAGTATATCTGTTTTTATTGGAATGTACAGTAGCTTAAACAAGACCATAGAACTAAAAATTCTTCACTACTTATTACTCATGAATCCGGCATACATTGAACTGAGTCATCTGCTACTAACTTTATTTCTGTAATTACTTGTGATCTTATTGAGTTTTGTGAACTATTTAATACACAAGAATTTATGCAGTGAGTAAAAATGACTAGTCATAAGGTTTAATATAACCTGCTTTCTCTCTAATCATTTTACGATAGTGTCTAATGAGTATGGGTCATCCACTGAGTGTTTCTAATCATATAATCAGTCAACAGTAAATTATAATCTAGTATTCATCTTGGACTATAGCAATAAGCTGTTGAAATTAAATTTATGCTCTAGTAGCTAAAGAAATAGAAATACTTTGACATTGTAGTAAAAATATGGTGATTTATTTTTTTTCAACTCATTTTAAAAACGGACTGACATCTAACTGTAATTTATTTGATACCTTTCCACTTTTTAAGAACTTTGTGTTTAGCCTATGCATTTTTAATTGAAATTTGAAACTGGTCAGTTAGGCGGCTGTTAGAGAAGTAGCTTGAGAATCCTCGTCATTAATGCCGACTTGGGCGCTTAATAAGTCACATACACTTGTCTGATATATACGGATATTTGTCAGTATTTGAATTAACAACTTGACAGAAATCGTGCACCGAGTATGTAAAAGATATCATTTGTCAAAATTATATTTGAGATAGTCTCAGCGACTAAAATTTAGATGATTCCATCCGTTTGTCCAACACACTTATCTGGACTTGAGGGTAATAACCAAAAATACCGAGGAATATATGTATATAATACAGTGAAAAAGTTCAGACTTGTCTGATTCAGTCGCTCAGTCAGCCAGTTACAACGTAAAACTTCATACGTACGTACCTAATTTCAGGTTACCTTACCGTATTAACACAGAGACTCAACTGTCAGTTCAAATCCCATAGTGGTAACGATAATTGAAGTATTAGCAGTAATGGAGAATATTATGGTTCGAAGATAGTATTCAAAAAGTATAATTCAGTGGTTGGCTGATTTATATTATGCACAAATCGTATCTCTTTCTTTTCTCAGAGGCCAGTCACATTTCCGGTTATACATCAGTAATATTTGTGTTGGTTAAGTTTCAAATTAGGAGATAGCTGTTCTATACCTTTAGGTTTTCATAAATTATCTAGCAGGTGTCGATCTGTGAACTGACATTGTCTTCTAACGTAATTGTACTGTAAATGCTTCATGATTCGATGTGGCCTTTGCTCTTATTTTTGTTCAGGACAGTATTCCTGGCGCTGGACCTATCGTCGTACACTGCAGCGCAGGTATTGGACGTACTGGAGCATTTATTGTAATCGATATGCTCATAAATTATATCAAAACAATGGGTCTCAATTGCGACATAGATATTTCCCGCACAATTCAAGCAGTTCGTGAACAGCGTTCTGGAATGGTTCAAACAGAAACTCAATATAGATTTATTTATAAAGCTGTACAGCAATATGTAAATACAATGTCTAAGCGTATACAAATGGATAATGTGAGTTTTCTTCTCTTCCAGTTAAAAAGTTAAACATAATAATACCATAGTTTGCATACACTGATTTTCTGAATATTTTCGATAATAGTATATGCATCGATGCACTCACTGTCAATAACTGTTTTAAATGCTTTTGTACATTCTTTAATTTTATACTTCTAATTATCTATTTTACGAGATAAAACAAAAAAAAATACATGGTTCCACTATTTGATGAACACAGCAAAAATGTGCATTTTTTATTCCAACACTCTGATTTCTTAGTTAAATTACATAGTGAGAATCGGTGTTTATTGATAATAATCCACTATCGAAAATTAACTTCGTCGCTTTTCATAATCCTTGTCTTCAAAATTTTGTGATTACAAATATTTATTACCTTTATTTCAAAATTCTTATAGGATCTTCGGCGTACTGGTAGAGATTACACTAATATTAATCGTGCTGCCGATGACATTGGTGTAATTGGAACAACAGCTGTCAGTATTTTTCCAATGGTTTGTTCCCATGAACAACATAGTTTGACACCAAATTTTATTCCTGGAACAACTGCCCACATTTCCTCAGTTACTGGGTCTTCCGTATCTGCTCCCAACAGGCAATGTAGTTGTCCTATTCACTCCTGTTCACAGCGACAACCAACACCAAATCATAATATATCTCAATCTCCTGCTTATCCTACCAACTGTTCACAAACTGTTATTTCATGCACAACTGTATCATGTACAACTCCAGTTGTATCTGTGTCATCTCGAAATTCGGATTCTGTAACCAGTGGCTTTTTTCATCGACTGACTGCGCCTAGTCGTCCTCGTACAAAGTCATAATACCTTTTAAAAACATGTTTTCCATTGATTTGATGTGAGTTTTAATCAGAATTTCAGCGAAGTTTATAATTTTTAATCATTGTGTGTGCATTTAAAACGTACGAAATCGTAAACTTTCTGTGAATTATGATTTCAATCGCTACACCACATGTTGTCAGTTTGGGACAGCATATTTTTTTTAAAGTTATTAGTATGATTACAGTGGTTTAGTGGTCTGACTCCATATAATTGGACGTTATTGATGCTAAGGAAATATATCTCCTATTTACCCTGTATACATTCTGTTGAGGTACTCCCTTAATAACAACATAGATACGGGAAGCTGAATGCGAAAGTGTTTGAGGAACGTATGTATATGTTTCAGTCTCGATGATGCAGACAAACGAAAACAATCGAGAAGAAATGAACTTGAAGTGGAGTGGCAGAAATAACCAACTCCGTGCGTAATAGGTAACTGTGTTTATATGCATGAAGGAGATACACACACATGTATAAAGCATGACCAACGTTACTTGTGAGTATTCGATAAGGTCAACCATTTGAGTATAATGACTAGTAGAAAGACTGGATTAATTTATCTGTCTAAAGGTTAGGAGAAATCACGTATACAGTGTGATAAAACTGATTCGCTACAATCGAATTCTTGGTAAAATTCTTTTTATTCTAACCTATCAAGGATTGACCACCAATCAAAAGACTGTCACCAACCTAGAGCAAATGAATACATATTTATGATGAATAAAGGTACTCATGAAATGAAATTTTGATTATCTCGTGTTACAAGGCAAGAATGTTTTGGACGTGTTTCTTATCTATCCCTCATACCTCTACTTCGTCTCATTGTTGTAGCATTTACAAGCCTGTTCTGCTAGACAATTGGGAATGGATATTTGGATTTATTTTTATTGTTTGAAATGTTTTGATAAATGATGACCTTTATTTGTGGAAACTTTTAAAATTGAAGAAGCATTAGGCGTAATCGATTTTTATGTATGTTATTTTCCGAAGAACTTATCGAACTTTACTCCTCAATCATTTGTCTTCGTTCTCGATCATGTTTATCCTTTTCAGATCAATAAATATCACAGGAGCTTCTTCCCCATTTCATAATATAAAATTATGTGAGGATCTTGTATGAATTACTTCAACTATTCATTAAATCTATGTATATATTGATGCAAACAAATTTTACCACGGAATAGCTAACTTTTCGTTTGCACTATTTGCCTATAGTATTTTTCTCTCTCTGTTACTATGGGTACAGAAATGTTAGTGGTATATGAATAGTATGTAAATGTACTCATTCATTACACAAGCATGATTTCAAACATATTATATCTGTGTAGAAATAATAATCATGATTAAAAACTTGTTAAAAATTTTGTTCTTCATCACAGAATAATCAGTAGTCTTTTTTTAATTAATAAATATTTTGATGCGTATTTTGTTTAAATGTTGTATAGACAAATAGTATGACATGTATTATTTGCATTACCAGTACTGAGTTGTTTGATTTTTTTTCTATTGTTTACTACCTATCCACCCACTTTATAATTTTATTAGTTCACTAAATTTTGGTTCGAATTGAGCATTAAATTGTTTTCACTCCATTAATTAAATTTTCATTTTGGCTTATCTTCTTCTTTTGAATAACAATTATTGTGTAAAGCTTGGTATGAAAAACTCGTCATACCTTTAAAACTATTATACCTATACAAATGATATACAATTCAAGTAACAGTTTTCCACAGAAATGTATATTTTCATCCATTTTTTTTGGTGTAAGAGAAGTGTTGTTCCTAGATTTTATTCATTTTTTTTTCAACTTATTAAAGTGAAATTCTGCCGTTTTTACATTTTTCTTTCCTTGATTGGGTAGTGATTTTAAATCCATCACAAACAAGAAAAAGTCATTTGATATTGTTTGTATGTGATTGCTCAATTCTCGTACAAATGTTTTTTTTTTCTTGAATAACGTGTTAATTATGTTATTTTCATTCTAATTATTCTTACTGTATTAAATTATTGTTGATTTAATTAAAAAATTCAGTATTTAAATGCAAGCAGGTAGTTTCTCGCGTTTTAACGAAATACGTTTCTACTGAGTAAATGTTTGAGCGAAAAGTTTATATCTCATCATATATATATATATATATATATATAGAGAGAGAGAGTGACACCTCGCCCGGACTAGAAGAGGTGCAGGTTTAGCTGGCGTCAAAGAGGCTTTTTGTTCAAACGAATTTTTAGTCATTAATACACTGGGACTAATTAGAATGTCTAAATAAGTGTCGAAACAGGGTGGTCGGAAGTGAAAAATGTTCAATTCACTTCTTGAGTTACATCGTCAATCGGTAATATGTTGCTGGAAGTAGGCGATAAGGATACAAACACACGGACGTCGTCACAAAACGGATACTGAATCACTGTTTTCTATAAAAAAAACAAACCACTAACTCAATGACTACAATTTTCTCCAGTCACATATGAAAACTTAGCCGCCAGTCGTGGTTGGTTTCACAGAGTGCTGCATTTGAAGCAAGCATATCTCATTTCAAAATGAAACAAACAAACTGATAGTCGTCAAGCAACCTAAGAGAGACGAATAGGAAGAGAAAATACGAGGATTTGCAAGACACTTTTTATGTCTTACGAAGTTACGATTTTATAAGTCGTCTCTTTGTTAGTTTTTCTTGAATGCAAAAGTCATTTGATAACTCAACTAAAACTGTTACTGTTTTATATTGTACAAACTAATTAGTCTCCTAATCGAAGTTTGTAATCACATGCGCGCCTCCTGTGTCATTCTCATTAACTATGGAACATAACATTTAAAGTTTACCATTTTTGCGTTTTGTAATCTTCCGATGAAGGTATAGAAACCCATATTACACAGTAATATCGCAAACTATGTCAACTGACAATACATTCGATTATTAACGGTACTGTGGCATAGGATACATCTTGAATAAATATTCATACATTTTAATGTATTATTTTATTTCATGGTAAAAAAAATCTTTAAAAATTGACATAAGACATTAATCTTATCTTGCTGTCGATGACATCTGTTAACCATCTTTCGGAGAACTTGCTCTTTCCTGGACTGTATGTATATATATGTATAAAAAAATAAATTAAAACGGAAAATAACATGTGAAAATAACAGTTTTGTACAAATATGATAACAAACAAGTATCATGGTATACAACTAAAAATGGATATTTTCAAATCAATTAAAAGTATATATGTGCATATTTCTTCACTGAAAAATAAACATAACACGAAACATAACAAAACACTTTTCCTGAATTCAAAGATAATCGTTTGTTATAATCACGTTAGTAATAAATGAAGTTTATTTCAACGATTTACTTAGTATTTGTTAGGAATGAAATGCTACCTATAAAGAAATCAAATGTAAGGACATTGTTTTCGTAATGAATATCCACAAAGCGCTAAGCTGAACATTTCCAATGTAGTTGTAGTATTCGTGTGTTTTTTAAAGTCATTATTTGTCTGTTCATTTGCTTTGCGTCAGTTTAATAAATCATCAGTGTATAGCTAGTTATCAATTTATTTGGGATACTGTTTGTTATATATCAATACTTGACTTTTTTTCGTGTTAGATCTTATTGTAATAAGCAGACTTAGAAAGTGTTTTAATTATGGTCAAAATTTTTCGTCGCCAGTCAATGAAGTATAAATATTTCTACTTCAGACACTTTTTGATGCTTCTAAATGATTCGAATAACTCTACTAGACAATATATTCCTTTGTTGGATCAACTAGGATCAGTACTTCAATTCTTGTGATTTTTTAGATTGATTAAAATGACTGGTGAAATCCACTACCGACCAGTTTGAACAATCTATTCTGATTGTATATCATTTTAAACGGCAATATTAAGGAATTTACTGATCATTTAGCTAATCTAGTGAAATATTCTTGCAATTTACATCAGTAATCTGGATATTTTTGTACTAAGATTTTGATGGAAATTTTGTTGTGATATTATGAAAATAATATAAATCAGTTGAATAATATTCATCGCCAGTCTTCAGTTAATAATATACTAGTGGCATTTAATGTTAATAGAAAGCAAGTCATCCTTTCTTGTTCACTGATATTTCATTAAATATTACGCAAAATTATGATTTTCTTTTCAAACTTTATGTGTGATGTTTGATTTAGGTGAATTATTTATTAAATTGATATTGTTTTTAATTAAATATATATCGCAATCATAAACGACTATTTCCGTATGAATCATAACATTACAATAAATGTAGTCAGAATAAGTGTAGCTTCTTTGCTTGACACATGATTGTCTCTGTTACATGTGACAAGCGTATCATAGTAATTAAAAAAAAAATTATTTTATCCTTGGCATTCACAATATCAACTTACATATGTATTGAACGAAATGTTTCGACTTGATAATAGACAAGGATCATTGTATTCTGTAAAATTTTTTTTTAAACAAATGAATAACATGATGAAAAGAATGATATTGTTAATTATAAATGTATTAGATTATATTTATTGGGGATTTTCCTGTAAAATTTGGTTCAACTATGAATTAAAAAGTCCACATTCTCTTGAAGCTTATAATTCTACATCTTGTTCAGACAATTAAATATATCTTGAATGAAGTTATTCGAAAATTGCGGAAGTAATTTATGCTAAAAATTCTGCTGGCAAGGCGTTCAGGTTGTACGTTCGATCCCCAATTAAGGCCATAACTGTGAACCACAGTAGGACGAAGTATTTGTTCAGCACTAACTCTATTTCCTATGATTTTCCTTTATGGAAAAATCTTGTTGAATTTCATGTTTCTTTCAAAGCGTGCCTAACTTTATTTGTGGGAGTTTATCTTTTTATAGATAAGTCAGTAATTTTCAGCGTGGAATCCAGTACGTACGTGCTTCGGTACAAGTTGCTACTTCGCAGGATAGCAAGATACCTGTAACTGTAGAAGCGGTAGCATAAAAGATTGAGTGTAGAAAATTTAATTTCCCAATTTTTGTAAGATCTTAAGTTTTCCATGATAAAGACGATAGTCTGAAGTTTTCAGTATCTATTCAAACAGGTAGATAGAATAAGTGTTCAGTATATATATATATATATATATATATATATATATATATATATATATATATATATATATATATATATATATATATATATTCATCTGTTTACCTTAGGTTTAATGTGAGATATTCGTAGCGTGAAGTAAACGGATACTGTAGATTTTGGTATGGGTGAACGCCTACATGGTAGACTCCACTTCACTCGATATTTATGGAGTGTTTCATTCTTTAATTCTTCTGTTGGCAAAATGTCAACACAATAAAGCCAATTTTCATTGATTTCCCAACCCTGGAAGTAAAATTACGGATATTTTTTTCGTAAGCAATCTTCTTATAGTATTGAGGATTACTTAAAACTATTATAACCGAAAAATTTAGTTGTTTTCCTGTCTTCGAGGTACACTACGCCATAACGATAATAAGCTAATAAGAGCGGACTTGAAAGACTCACAAAATACATTGTAGATTCGGTTATGACAGACACCCGATTCACGACTAATATAGAGAACTCAGAATAACTCTCAACAATTCTTTGCTTCACATAGTTACCAGTAGTCAGCTTGAGTGAGTCTAGAGAAAAGCAACCATCTGATAATTATTAAGCTGCTTATCTTTTTGTCCTCACTCAGTGGACCAATGACGAAATGTACAGTAGTTTTAACGGTATTTGACCATTTAGGTCTGAAAATTTTTAAAACAGTGGTTCCCTTTGATAAATTTGAATAGAGAAATAAGAAGACATATTTTGTGAGATAGTACCATTTCGTGCTTTCTCGTATGACAAATGATGGATAATTGTTCAATAAGTGGTATGAAATGTGTGTAAGTTTCTTTGTATTGGTTTATTTTGTCAATGCAAGTTAACACGAATTCAGATTGATTCTTGCATTGACAAAATAAACCAATACAAAGAAACTTACACACATTTCATACCACTTATTGAACAATTATCCATCATTTGTCATACGAGAAAGCACGAAATGGTACTATCTCACAAAATATGTCTTCTTATTTCTCTATTCAAATTTATCAAAGGGAACCACTGTTTTGAATTTCTAAAAAGGAGACTCCCACATTCTACCATCAAAAAGCTGCACCAACTAGTCAACTTGAAGTGTAAATTAATGGTTGAGAAGGTCAGGTTGGAATTTCTAAATAAATGCATTATTGACAACCACTTCCCATGGATTTATAACAAAATGCTTCGACGAAATAAAGTTCGAATAACAAGTTCGAGTCTGAGGAAGTTAACACGAATTCAGATTGATTCTTGCATTGACAAAATAAACCAATACAAAGAAACTTACACACATTTCATACCACTTATTGAACAATTATCCATCATTTGTCATACGAGAAAGCACGAAATGGTACTATCTCACAAAATATGTCTTCTTATTTCTCTATTGAAAATTTTTAAGCAGGACTTCTCCTATAGGTATAGTACTAAGAGGATTCAAGGTTGTAATGTTATTGAAGTCATCAAGGTACTTCGCAGTTCGAGAAATGGGTCCGGACAATTGTAACAGAAATCCAGCTTCAGTCACAAGGCATCCCAATTTCGTATATTAGTGAGTAATTTGATTTAAAGTCAAAAGTATATAAGAATTTCAAACTACCTATTTCTGCTCTTTTTCAATACTGATTTCAAATAAGGAAATGTGGATCTATTATAGTATCTTTTTAAATCTTTGCTATAGTTTGGATACTTGGTCCTCATTAATTTTGTATACTCGCAAACAAAGATAACAAATCTCTGGAATGCAAAGTGATTTTTACATATAACTAAATCATGTACATGCATGTTTTACTAAAGTCCCCTGATAAAGACAATATATTTTCAGAGAGGATCTATCATTATAGAATATGGCTATATCATACTTTCTATTTCGTTCTTATAAGCCAAAAAAGCATGCAAGCTATTACAATATTAATAATGTGACTCATTTTTAGAGTAGTCAATACGTTTAAATTTTGTAATTAAATGCCAAATGAAATCTGTGAGAACCTAAAATAACGTAATCATCAAAAATCATGTTTGAAATTAGTGTACAAACGATTCGGACAAACAACGATATGATTTCAGGATTTGTTTGGGGACCGGTTGTTGGGGATCCAATAAATCTTCATCGTATTAGTCTTAATTGTTCTCTTTATTCGTTGTGGGAATCAGATTGGTTCCTGTTGGCAGTAAGATCAAGGAATTACAGTGGATGCGACTGTGCAGTATGACTACAGACAGGCACAACAAATTCGAAAAGTATATATCAGCAATGACACATCAGACGTATCAGAAAGATTCTGCAGCTGTATCAGTGATGACTCAGAATAACATTATCACCTTATCATTAATTTCTAACAAACAGATTATTCAATAATTATTACCTTTATATATTGTTCTATTTTTTCGAGTCCTAATATCGGAGTAAATTCTTCAATAGTAGGCCATTGAATATTAAGAGCTGGTAAAGTGTTATCCGATAAGATAACTTCATCAATAATATCATCTGAACTTTCATTTGGACACAATTTTTCCAAATCATAGTAATTATAATCAGCTGGTTCGATTTCATAAGAAATTCCAGAATCCCCAAATTTCATACTTTTACATTGTTAAAAAAGGGACAAAATAATTGCATTGAATAGCAAATAATTGTTATTCAAAAAAAACTATGATTTTTGATTTTTTTTTTCCGTTTATAAGATCAAAGCATAACTTTCCTCTTTTGAATCAATATAAATATTAAATAAAATGAACAGAAAAAATATCTAATAACAAATCTACACAATATATATACTAGTAATCTTATCCTGTGTGGAATGATTTAGCAGAAGTTTTTTTTCACACTAATCACAAATGTAAAGAAAGATTAAAATTGTTTAATACGGTGCAGACATATACTTTGTATGTTTGTTAATGCTCTGAATTAGAAGTGAACTACGGATCCAATACTCCTCTGGGTGATACTCGTATGATAACTTACTTTCGACCATTAATTGGCCGCTAGAACTTTCAATTTCCTTTTTTTGAATGACAAGTTTGGAGCAAATAGTCTCGTTTCTTATTTGGTTCCATTCCAACCCATGATAGATTTAAATCCTGTCAGAAACTACATACTTTCATTTGGTACTATTCAACGGAACTGGGTTCCAAGGAACAAAGCTAATTCAGCTTAGAAAATTATCTATGCAACAACATTACTGAATAAAGCTACCGAGTTGTATTTATTGTTATTTATTACTTTAAGAAACTGTTCAAAAAGTCAATAAATGAGTTCAAGTAGGAGTATGAATCATTGAATTGACTGAAGAGTCTTTAACAACTGAAGTGTTCAAGCGTTAACTCTTCGCTAAAGTAGAATATTCAATCTGTCTTTCTACTATGCTTTTAATTCGCTCTTTATTTCCAACGCCGAACATTCAGTCGTTATTTATCACATGTAAGTATTTTTTTTATCTCTTTTCCATTTTCCATATATGTAGTGGAACACTTCTACGAAGAAAACGCGATTGGTGAAAAATAAACATTAATTATTGTACTCCTTTTGTTTAACTGTACCAAAAACACTTTCTTGCTGCCATTTTTCATAACGTGCTGCTCTCTGTGTAATGCCTACTTTCTCCTTCAATAAATATTCAAACATGGATTTATTTCTGATTTACGTGACGGGATAGTATGGAATATTCAGTGGTGATCATAGTCAATCTCGACTCGGTCACCACTAAATGTCTATCACGTAGATAAAAATTATGCACCATTTTCATCTTTGAAATACTCACATCATACTGATTTCCATGAAACCCAAATACATTATGCTTATTTATTTTTCGATACTGGAAACTATTATTCTGTCATAAAAATGTTTAATGCATCTGCCTTTCATTTTGATGAGTTTTATTTGAACAGAAATGGATACTTTATTAAAAATCAGTCTATTGTCCAGTGTATAAAAAAATTTTATAGTGAAAAATTTATAAGTTATATCACTCTAATTGGGGGTAATTCTGATAAGTTTTTGATTTAACATTGATTTTAGCAAAAACACTTCATATACAGATTCATTCAATTTATTTTTAATCACACACTATTACATGGAATACAATTATGATTTATTTTAAGCAAAATATGCCATCAATTTATTCAATCAAGTATACTCATGTAACTTATTGAGTGATTTATGAAAAGCTGGGAAAATATTAATTCTTTAATGAATAAAACAATACTCTAATTAAATAAATATTAACTTATTTATAAATAACTGGATGATGCCGAATTTCGGTAGTTTTTCGTGTGTAAATGTCAATTTTTATGAAACTCTGATTAAAAAATTTGGTGATTTGTAATTTACAAAACTGATACATTTAAACGTTGTTGACTTTTTAGCTAAACAATTTTCTTTATGTTTAGTCATAGCTCATGATTTTAATTATAATGAGGTAATATTTTATAAAACAATACTTTTACAGTATCTGTAACTTCAACAGTTTAAAAGCAATCATATTATAGATTCTTTTATTCTGTTTCACTATTGGTCAAGAGGTGATTTTAATTTCATGTGTAGAGATGAAATTAATGTCTTCTTTTAATTTTCATTCTATCAGTTTAGGACAACTTAAAGGTTATATCAAGCGGCTTCAAACGCCAAGAATGAACAAAATACTCGTGGCATAGAAGTTTTGATAAAAAGCCATCAACTCTCAGGACTTTTTTTTCAAAGAAGTAGTTTCTGCAGAAGCCTACTAACGATGAACTGACATGAACTGTGTTGACTATCTATCGTTTATAAACAAATCTGAATATTTTAATTTTATTCGTTCAATATTCTATTAAATTATTCAAAATGAGAATATATGAAGAAAAACAAAAAAACAAAACTATGAATTAATCATTTAGAAAACTTACCCTAATTTATGAAGTAGATCTTTTTCGTATACATGATATAATGATGATTGTATTATTGATGAGATTAAATTACGTATTACCATTGGAGATTCATTTAATTTCCCTTGACTAAAATATTTGTAAGTACGATAATAAAAAAAAAGAAAGATTAATCAAAAAAAAATGATATTTACACTTCAGATTTTTATAGAGCTACACTTGGAAAAAATTAAAATATATTGCAGTACTGATTACGGAACTAAGCAAATTCATTGACAACACTTAAAGAAGAGTTTTTTTTTTAAAAAATTTTAAGAAGCTCTTATACAGTAGAAATTGAAATTATTAAAAATACTTTATTTTTATGTTACTTGTTATGTATTAACTTGAAAGATGTTTTATAATTTATGAACAGATATTTTCTTCAAGTGAGATTGAATTTCATCTGAAGAACATTTAAATTAGTAGTTAAAATAGACATTACATTTGTTTTTCTTAGTAGTATACGACATTGGTACATTTTTAAACTGATCCTCTCATGTTTATTGTAATAAGAGCTATAATTTAAAACTAATCTTATCTAATTATCTAAAAAAATTAATTGACAATATTTGGTAATTATTTCACATTATTATTATAAATGAACTTGTAAATGATTTGACTTTACACAATACAAATAAAAATAAATAAACTGACTTAATTTCAGTACAGTGTTGTTGATTATTTTCATCATAATTGCTATGATTCATCCCGTCCACGTTTGATGGATTAGTGTTTAAATTTTGTATATAATTAAGTGATAATTGTATAACTGAATCCACTATTGATTCTATCAATTCCCTGTATTCATTTGATTGTTGTTCATTTGAATTGGCCATTGTTGATTGAATGAATGTATTTATTCTAAGAAAAAAATGCAGAAAATTTTTTACTTTCTACAAAATATAGTGTGTTTTTCATAGAATCAATCATTAAAAAGAACACTGCGATTTTTTTTGTTAGAAAAAAAAATGTATAAATTTTATTTAATCAGTGGATAAAATATAAAAGGTTTTTGGAAAAAAACTGTTGTAAATTAAAGCATCTATTAACAACAAACGTCCAATTTTTTTTTAAAAAAAAGTGACTGTTGACAAAATCAGCGATAAGTAAAAATAAGCTATTTATTTATTTGTTTTAATCTATTGTTCTATAGTAATATTCATAGTACGAAAAAAGAATAGTTACACTTTTTTGTAACAAGTGAAGTTTCAACAAATTAAGTGTTTAATTAAGTAGTATTCGCGAATCTTTCATCTCATGATAATGAACGTTTTTCTTTTGAAATCTGAAAATAAAATAAATAAATAATAAAAATATTACGAAAAGTAGTGAATCAAACTAAATTATAAAACAAACTAAATCTATAAAACATAAAATACATTGTTCTCTACTGAATTTTACAATAACAGACCTCTTACAACAAATTTCGTTTGAATTTAAACGATTAAGTTCATAATGGTTTGACACCGAGTGTATGGATGGCAATGAGAAAGAAATCTGTACGAGTTACGTGTCCAGTCATTTGTAGCACACTCATTCTTCAGTGTTCAATATATGTGCATACTGTATTTACTTAGTGCGTGAATGCTGCATATAAGAGCATTATTTTTACTCATGATTCCGTTCCAAGCTCTCACATTCCTTATATTTGTTGCTTTCATTTAGCAAATTGGGTTGCGTCACACATTTGGAAACATGAAACATAGGACAAAAATTCTGGAGCTCATCAATGTTGTACTCATCATGAAATCTTGACATTTAAAGTTTGATCCCATGCGAATATTTCGATGGAGATTGGTGGGAAGTTGGAAACCACTAAACAGTGCTCGTTAAGCTAAATTTATAAATTTATTTTTATTTTTTAATGAATTTACAACATCGAAAATGATCAATTTTGATGTCTTTTAATTTTTGTTCAAACACTTTCACTAACCAAAGAAATTGTTTCTTACGAAACTGCTAAGAATTTTCTTTCAAATGTTGATATATCTAAAAATAGTGAGAGTTCAGAAGTGAACCAGTAGATATTGTTAGAACTTAAACTGGAATATTTTTAAATGAATATAGCCGATTTCTTCTAAATTTTTAACTATTCACTTTGTTTGTTTTTCAAGGTAACACCCATTCGTTTGTAAATCGTCTGTCAAAATGTTCTTATTTGAGGATATACGTGATTATTTTAGCATTTTTTTTAACGCTACCTGTAACACATGATTGTGTTTAATTAAACAATAGATATTGTTAGGTCAGTAATAAAAATTGAACTTAGCAACAGAGATGTTTGAAGTTAAGAGAATATCTTCTGCTCGTTGTGTAACCATTAGTAAACGATGCAATCACATGTAACTGTAAACAGCTAATCATTAAATATAAGTATCACAATAGATTGTGCAAAACGATTGTTGTAAATAGCTTTTAACAGGCAAATTTATATTTTTATGTTTATAGTACAAATCAATTGAATTCTTCATATACTATTCAGTTTTTCAAATAATACAATAAGCAAACTGTTGAGTCCTGTCAAAGAAATGTTGTATATAAATGTAAACGGTCAATTGATTTTTGTCGATACTTGTTAGGATATTCATCCAATATGCTAGGAGAATTGTTGGTCAGTTCTTATTGGTTAATTCCTTCTGGTCAATTTTATGGTCGTCCTAGATATCAGTGTCACGTCCTCTAATGTTGTTTGTTATATGTTGTCCTGATTATCAATGTCACTTCAAATGTTAGTTCCTATTGGTCGTCTTAACTGTCAATGTCACAGATTTTGATGCTGTTTCTTATTCGACCAAAATGTATAAATACGCCTTATCTGTAACGCTTTTGGACCAGGACCTGGTCTCGGATCCCTAATCCGGGATTCTGATTCTCTTCTGGCCTCGGACCTCGTACTTTCTGGATGCTTGTAGAATACGGGTTCTACTTCACATTCAAGTCTTCTTATTTTTTACTCAATATGGGGGTTGGGATAATCAGATTTGAGTAACATGTCGTGTCACCAGATCCTTGATCCTCGCTCTCGTTTTCCGACTTGGTAAACTCGTAATAGTTCAGTTAGATCAAGCTGATGTGTTTACGTGTAGGCGTAACAATACTATTAATACATACGAGTATAAATGCCCAAATATGAAGTATCTTAGAGTAGATAGATCCTAAAAATAATTGTATGTCAAAAACATACATGCACGTAATAAATACACAATCAAATAAACCTACTCATTTCTGATGATACACAGTATATTTTGAAATATTATTCATGTATGCGATGGCATTCATCCAATCATGTTCCCAATTAGCTTGATTATATGGATTTTTTAAATTCTTCAATCTTTTAACAATTTCTTTATTTTCTTGAGTGACACGTTTCACTTCTTTCAATCGTTGTTGTTCATTTAAACTGTATTATTATATCCCATTGAGAAAAAAAAAGAAGAAAAAGGCAACAAAAAAATAACATTAAAATGAAGAATTGTTTGCATTAATTTTTTGGACAAATTCACAGATTTAAACTGAAATGTTTTATGTAAAAAAATATTTGCTAACCTTTTTTTAATGTGCTGTTTTTCTTTATCCAGGATGATGTCATGTTTTCGAATTTCATGAATCCGTTTCAATAGACGATTATTTTCCTCGGTTATTCTATACAAATTTTCTTTTTCATTCTAATTGTTAGTTAATTAATATTCGATTGATTATTTGTTTAATTGTAAAAATAGATTATTAATTAGTTGAATTTATTGACTAATTTAATGAATTAATTATGCGTTAATAGTTTATTTATTTATTTATTTTTAACTATTTCAACAACAAACAAAAAATTTACTTACTCTGTCTTTTTTAGAATTTAAATGAATTATTTGAAATGTCTTAGGTGCAGTTGTATCCAATGTTGGTTTAATGTTTGCTAACTATAAACTCATACAATATTGATAAAATTAAGAATAATAAAAAATATCAATCATATCATAAAAAATATTATACAATAACAAAATTAATAAGATTAGATATAAGATAATGTAAATTGACTATTTATTGCATACTGGTAAGTCCTGTGTTCGAACGATGAGTCCAGGTTTTTTTTAACACTGACCTAATGTTCATAATTTCACAATTTCACCACAAACTTTATTTAAAAAACTAATATTTAAACATTGAAAGTTTAACACTTGATGATTGTTGATTAATTCCTCTGTAACTGAAGTTACAAATGAGATAAACTAACTATTACACTTAGTAACTGACTGTATAGATAGATATGCACAAAACTGTCAGTGAGTTTTTATAAGCAATTTGACTAATCATGATATTTTAGTGTTTAGTTCTTAATAAATGACTGTATGGAAATTTCTTTAATAGTCAAACAATAAAACTAGCTAGCTGTATTTAAAGTGACTAGTTAGTTCATATCAAAGATTAAGAATAGTTGCATTTTTAAATCGTTGTGAAATAATGAGAAAAGTAGCTTGCAGTTTTGCATGTATAAAGATTTGAGCCTGTGGGCTCGTAACAACCAGCTATTACCTATTAGTTTATTCCATATTAAAAAATCTCAACGCTTAAATGAAAACCACTTTATCATGTGATGAAAATGAACTAAGCGGTAGGAAGCTACAGAGCTGCAGAGCTTATTACACTCACTGAGGCATCTGTTAGTAAGATGTTCGGTTTCGTTGGGCAATCGTTGACGTTAACTGTATGTCCTGTGTAAATTTTCAACGATCACTCATACTCTAGATATATGTTTTTAGTAGAAAGGTGAACTAGTTCCTTTTTTGCACTTTCGAATATATTTTCTTTCCTCAAGACCAATTATTACCATAACAAAAGTAGAAATCAAAGGCTAGCAAATAGTTTTTGTTATTGAGAAGTTACAGGTCCCTGATTTTTGCATAAATTATCCATGACATTTAGAAAGATGAAAGTGATGTGTTGCGTCCCATAACCGGAAAATAATAAGAAGAACTTAATATCCTTATCTTTATAGAACGCTTATTCAATCCATTTAGCAGTTAGAGAGGTATATTTGTGTTCGCAGAGGTACTCACATAATCGTTATCCACTAAACTCCAAATATTTCATGAATGGCTATCGCCCTAGTTAGAGTCTGGTATGCATTGGCATCTTTTGCCCATGAATCATATCTTCCTTTCATATAAATTGCTAGAGCACTGTCAAAGTTATTCCAGTCTAACGTTCATTGTGTCTCTTGAACTAAATATCATTGCTTTGTTAAACGGCACTGTACTTTCGACTAACTTATCAAATGGAAATGCAGTTGAGAAATTTATCAACTTGTAATCTCCATAAAGATATCTTATTTGGTGAGTCAGAACACTTCTGACCCTTAACTATTATCCCAGACAATCATGTAGTTTAGAGAAGGTTATCAAATATTTCCGTTGATATCATATTCTAACGTCAGCGAAATTTCGGAAACATCTCTGAAAGACTTTCGTGGTATATCACATTACTTTAATTGAGGCAAACTGGTAGTTAAGCATAACTAACGTGTTTAAATAATATTTTGAGAGAAAAATGACGTGACTGTACACGTTCATATCTGTTGCTTTGTACAAAACCAATGAACATTAACTGTACCTGTTCTCTATTAAATATTCTATACAAAAGTATGCTCTTTAATATTATACATAAAAGGATCCATATTTTGTTGCTCATTCATTGTCACGCGATATTTATTCATCATGAAATGTTGAATAGATAAGTTATATTTTTTAGTACCTATTGAGCCAAGCAAAAGACTACATGTATATCTTAATTCATGTAAATCTTCCTCAATTATAATAGTGAAGCATTTATTCAATCAATTTACTGACTCAATGACTAGGAATAATAATAACAACAATAATAATAGTTCATGTTTACTAAAAAATACTTACTGCCTTTAAATGAGCATCTCGGAATCGTTGATTAAATTTATGTTGGAGGGATTCGTTTTGACAAGGTTTTACCGAACAATGCAGGTTATACATACTCATATATGTACAACAGCAATAAAAGGAAACAGAAAACAATGAGCAAAATGCCTAATAAATCACTTACGCGAAAGTTATAAAATGTAAGAAAGCAATAAAATTAGTAAACTACACACTATTTTTCACAATATATATGCTGATGAAGAGGAAAGAAATCAAATTCTGTTTTGTTCAATGCGTTCAGCATTTAACGAACAATATCTTAATCCAATTTAGTATCGGACGAAAAATTTTATCATATTTATATGAGATTATCGAATACTTAATTGTTATGAGTTTCTTGAAATATATGAGAACAAGTATTTTATCTGAATACAAAATTACTATCAATAAATTATAACAATGAAGCAAAACTACTGTATCAGTGGGGCCTGCATTTTACATAGATCTTATTGGCTGTAGAAAATTCAGTTACAGCTGAAGTCTTCATTAAATAAGTAAATTTTTATGTTTACGTTAAAAAGTATCTATTTCGTGACTACTTTTTCCAGTTTCCTTATCGAACCTAATGCACCAAAAATTTAGTCACCTTTAAACATAAAAATTACAGTTTAAAATATGTCGACTTCTATTAATTAAGTTTCATATACATCACGGTTGAATATGTCTGGCGAAAAACTAAAAGATCATCACATTCTTCCAATTATGTGTCAGTAAACATTACAGATAAAAAACGAAATAAGTCAAGTTAAACAGATAACTGTGAAACTAATTATATGTTGCTTTACAGTCAAATTTAAGACTCCATTGATCTATCAGTGTCAACAAGTTTTCTTCTTGAAGCGGAGTATTAATATGGTCTATGATTGAATCATGGTTATATCCCCAATCATTGCTGGCATCTAAAAAACTTCCATTACCTGTTAAAAGGGTGTTTATTATCATAATTCTAGACTGTTAAAGAACTTTCTGAACGCTGGTGGAATAGATTTGGGTTTGAATAACATCGTATAAAAGATGTTATCAATTGAGGAATTTCAAATACGACGAAACGCTTATTCTGAAATCAATTACCAGTGGCAATTAGCCATATATTATGTTTGTTAAGATAGATAACTTGTCACAAGAAAACCTCGGTAAAATCGTCACTGTCAGTATGCTCTATACCGCACTACTCACGTTCTGACAGTATAATTTACCAAATGTTAAAATGTAACTAGTAACATCCTCTGTTTTTCTGTACATCAATGATCAAAATATTCCTGTTTTAACTTTGGGCAAAGCTTCCTGGATTCAGCAAGATATCCCTTGAAGTTTACTTTCTAACGTACTGGAATACAAACCATCTGTTATTTTAGGCTAGAAATATGTGTAAAACAATATTTTTTAAACACTTTAAATGCTGTGGAGCTAGTATCGCCTGAATGATCAACCTGATGACTTCAAAATACAGTAACAGAGTTAGCTAGAGTACATAAGCAACTGAAGGTCACTCGTAAACTTCAAAAGACTAACCATTTTCAACACGTTTTACGTAAAAAATATAAACAGTTTTGCTATAAATTATACCGGTCTTCATAATACGGAGCAAGCAATAATAAATGACGAAGAAGCGCGAAAGAAATAAGGTAAACGTTCTCAAAATAGTGACAACTGTTTTTATGTGACACTTCTCACAAGCACTGAAAGAAAACATTTGTTGAAAACTTTTCAAATAATGACCATTCACTTCACTTTCAGAAAACTTGTCTATAACCAGTTAAAGAGAAGACAACTATAATAAAAACAAACAAATCACCCTACATTCTATGAAGAATATGGAGGAAATTGCGAGATTATTGAGTTCATCAGGAATAGTGGCAGCACGCAAACTATTGAAATCACTTCAGGTGATCATACTTAACCGGAATAATGAAACGACAATAGAGGAATGGGAAAACATTATTCACAAAGTATGCTGCCTTGACCATTAGAAACTCTGTGTTTAAAAGTCCGACTGACCTCTTCATTTCAGCATACGGGAACACTAACAAGATGTCAGACGCTGCGATGTAAACTCCAATAATTATGGTCACAAGTCAGACTCTCAAACAAAATACAAGGAAAACTGGAGAATATTGAGGAGCTCGGCTCCCAGGTAGATTATCAATCAATGAACACTGAAACCCACGTAGTTTCCAATCAAGCAGAAAAATTATGAGCTGCTGTGATGACTAAACCAGATCACTGCAAAAATACAATGATATGATAACAGTCAGTAACAGTTCATGGTAATCAAAGTCGACAAAAACCGTCTGTTATATGTGGATATATTTGAATAACTGAATTCTGTTCGAATGTTGTGACATTGATGCGTTCTTCAGAGTTTATCAAAGTTTCATTTTTAACTCACACAAGCGAAGGCTCTACCAAGACCATATACTTAGCCATAAAATTCTCTTCTATGGCAAGCGGTTGATATATGCTGTACGAACTGTAGATTACACGTAGACTAATATCCCTTTCAAATCTATTGTGTTAATAACAATATCTCAAGTGGATTCACATGAATTCACATGAACATAAATGTGAGAGGAGTAGTGCACCATTAGTGGAATGGACAATGATTTCGAAAAATTTGTGCCACATAAAATTTTCTCTACGCTTCATATTCCTAACATTTTAGTAAACACGGTGAAATACTTACAGTTCTTTGCAAAATTAATTTTATGTCAAGCAAATAACCCAACAAAACTTGCTATTGCCAGTGAAACCATGTACAGTATCAATACGTTGAGGGCATGATAATAAGCTCATTAGAACTCACATTCTGCTGACCAAACTCACACTTTAAAAAATTAAAAACCTCATTGTTACCACTGTTGTAAAAGAATTAGGAAAATAGTTCTAGACAGGTAGTCTCCAATAACCAAATTTGTTGCAGTCGTTACCATAATTCAAATGTGCATTATATTGACGGTCTGATTAGCTCGATAACTACACTAAAAGATATATATATATGAATATATGCACAGTAGCTGGTTGTATTGTAGAAAAGGATTTTTTCCCTGTTTCAATAATGGAGCGTTTACCTATGTCTTGACAAAGAGGTGAATATTCATTTTTCCAGGGAGTGTGTAGCTATGCTATGTTCAAGTCCATGAATGTTAATTCCTAAACCCAACTTCCTATCTTTAAGAACTTTATGGGTCAGTTTTGACGAGATCCCTGAAGCCATTAAAAATTTTTGGCCCGATTTTCAAAGTCGGGAAATTGTGACTAAACTCCCTTAGTGATGATAAGAAAACTGATCGCTGTACATGACAGAATGTTGGTCTTCTAGTAAAACTACACTATTTTAAATGTTATAAAATCAGTATGTTATTCACCGAGTCAACAGCAGTCAGTGAACTTTGTTGAAAATAACGATTTTCTCTTTGAAAACACATACCATCAGTTACCAATAGTAACTAGTTCTAACAAAGCTCAATATCCAAAATTTTTTATTTAGCTAGTATAAACCATTTGATATCTTTGAGCTTGACTATTGTTCTTTCGGTACGCTTCCAGGTGTTTTGTCGTGTCCAATGAATGGACATCTAGCCACTAGACTGTCTAATTCTAGTCTTTTGGCAGTTGGTTGTGATTTTGTTATGTCTCGTGATTTAAATGGAAACGTTTGTTTTAGGGTAGCAGGGTTTCTGGATACCGCAGCTATCACACTACCAGACCAGAGATCAGTTAGTTGCAATGTGTATAATAATAAGGATAAAATCCTAATACTGGAGCTGATCAAATGGATAATTTGGTTGAAAATAATTGATGGGAACGAAGTGTAAGCAAGGGAGAGAAAAAAGAGAGAACAGGAAAATTAGATTATTAGAATGACCTGAGGAGATGGTAATAATTATAACTAGCAGGTCTCAAGGTATGTATCATCGACAGGTTGTCTAAGAGGGAGATGATAATTCGCATGTGAGTAGGTGATTAAAATAATAATAATAATAATAATAATTTATTTTCAAATAACATGTTGCAAGAGGCATGATAAATTACAGGCAAGATCAAAATGTTGCGTCTGCTAACATATTTTTGTAAAATGTTGTTCAGTCACTGAAATATTTCACTAGATACATTGTCTTCATATATATGGCTAAAATTTTCCATATAAATTATAGATAATTTTCCAGACTCTATAATGTACACTGCGAATAATTCACGCGATTTACGACGGTTTTGTTACGGTGAACCTTCATTGGCAGCAAAACAATGTAATGTAGAGTCAGATGTGCAAATAGCACGAACTGATGATGTAAATCTGATAAGATCTTGTAGACGTTCGTCTGCTGATTAATTAAAAGGCTCCTCAGTAAAGTACCCAAGTCTTCGGCAAATATCCAGACTAATATTGAAGGATTGTATTAAGGTACAGGAAAATAGGAATAAATAGAACAGGGCGAAAAGTAGAACAGAAAATATTCTTGTTTAAAGTCGAACAATCACTCTGCAGATACTTTTTAAATTCGAACACTAACTGTACACCTGCACTTATGTTAGTTATTTTATAACTAATTTTAGTTATGCCATAAGTAACCAATCAGACTTTGGTTTAGGTGCCCATCACGGGATCTGACCTGAAGTGTCTGTAAAACTTCTTTGTTGTAAATGACCTACAAACTGATTGACATTATTATCTTATTATATTGATGTGACTCATAATTGTACTCATTTCCTTAAGACAAGCATTATTGCTCGGTACGTTCGCTCGTCTTACTTGATATTTGTATTTTCCTTATTTATTGTACTAATGTAATTGTTTTTTGTGTTTAGAAACAGATAAAGTTTAAAGCAAAGTTGATCGTGTTTTAACTGTTGCTTTCCCATAGACTCTGTGCTCGCCAATATTGCTTTTACCGTTCTAGAATTACATCTGTAGGACAAAGTAAATCCTAAAACTTATGTGGGTTAATGAAGACAAATAGCCAGTAAGATAACCAGTGGGCAATAAATCGTATGAATAAAAGGAAATCTGAAGAACCAAAATGTTAGCAATAATGTTGATTCACAGAATATATTGATGATAA